GATGCTTTTGAACTGTGGTGTTGGAGAAGACTCTTGAGAGTCCCTTGGACTGCAAGGAGATCCAACCAGTCCATCCTAAAGGAGATCAGCCCTGGGTGTTCATTGGAAGGACTGATGCTGAAGCTGAAACTCCAATACTTTGGCCACCTCATGCGAAGAACTGACTCATTTGAAAAGACCCTGATGCTGGGAAATATTGAAAGCAGGAGGAGAAGGGGACGACAGAGGATGAGATGGTTGGATGGCATCACTGACTCAATGGACATGCGTTGAGTAAACTCTGGGAGTTTGTGATGGACAGAGAGGCCTGGCGTGCTGCAGCCCATGGGGTTGCAAAGAGTTGGATACTACTGAGTGACTGAACTGAACTGAACCAAACTAACAGACACTTGTAGCTGGACTTGTCCTTCACAAAGCTAATTACTCTCTGACTCCATACAGATTACATTCTACACTTGGCATTCTTCTCCTACACTCCCTGTAGCATTCTCCATTTCAGAAAGAAGGTCCTGGGTTGATAACTTCAGGAACACCAGACTTGGCTGCTGAGTTGCCTGAAGCCAGCTGTGGCCATTTTGAAACTTTGCAGCAGAAAAAATGATGCAAGACATTCAAGAGGATATAAAACCTCTCCCTATTCCTAAGAGAGCAAGGCACAATTTTGAGTCACTGGTCCACTGTTTTTCCCTTTTGCCTGGTAAAAATAATAAAGCTACTCTTTTCTATTTCCTCCAAATGCTATCTCTGTATTTCTATTTGGCATCGGTAGACAGGGAGCCAAGACTTTGGCAACAAGATGAAACAGCATGGGATATTTACAGAGCAACCCTGGCTAAGAGCTACTGTCATCCAGAGCCAGGAAGTCCACTTAAAATCTTGTTGCTAAGAATCAAACAATGAGTATGAGGATTGAGGCCACAAAAGGGAATGAAAGGAAATAAGAGGAGATTAATTCATAGCATTCAGTGGTTTATTTAGATACTGATTAAGCATCCTGGGTCAAAGATGAGAGCAGATGACTGAGAGACAGATTTCAAAGTCCTTTTCAAAGGGATTCTTTATCTTTGTTAAATGACCAGTTGGCATATATAAGGGGTGGGTCATTGTAATACTTCCAGACAGTAAAACAAGGCTCACTGATATTTTAGAGGATTAGACCTGAAACCTTAGCCTTATTAATGTTTATTGAGCTAATCAGTATCAGACAGATTTCTACTCATTCGTAATTTATAAATTACCCAATATATTTTGCCAAGAGTTATTGCATCTCTTTTAATCAATTGTGGTACTGATTAACTACAGGCACCTTATCCAAAATCTTACCTTTCCCCAGACAATATCACTGTTGTCTGGCCATTTGATGAACACATCACTTTCCTTCCCTCTGGTGAATGTGAGATACTGGGTCTCATTGCCAGAAATGGCTGGGTCCTGCAGTGAAAGGGTTTAAAACAGCAGACATGAGAAAAACATCACCAAGAAATCTCTTCTCTAAATTTTTAACAATTCATAGTGCAGAAAGAAATGGTGAGAAATAATACAACATACCACACACATACTCCCCATGAATAATTGAGAGCTAAAAACTATATTGATGTTTCTCTATAACATTATTTTATTTATTTTTTGGCTGCAACATGTGGCATGTGGGATCTTAGTTCCCCAACCAGAAATCAAACCCACACCCACTGCGTTGAAGTATGGAGTCTTAACCACTGGACCACCAGGGAAGTCCCTCTCTATAACATTCTTGAGGAAAAAAGTATGCTTATGTTTGAAAACATTTCCTAGAGATAAACCAGGTTAATAAAACATTACTCTCAAGTGGAGAAGTCTAACTGATTATGTTTCCACAATGTAATGCCAATAGTCCTTAAGAACATGAAATTCCTTTTCTTCTATTCTGTGACCCAACTTGTCTATCTCAAGTTCCCTTCCCTGTTCAATCTATCCCATACCTGACTCAACTGCTCTCTAAATAGCATCATACTTCACAACTGTCATAGAAATTGTCACTACCTATCTGAAACTATCTTTTTTTAAATGTTTATTTATTGGGGGTCTCCCTCTAATAGAATAAAATCCCTGTAAGAAAAAGGATATCTTATTCTCATAGATTATAAATACATTTTTTAGAAGAGGGATTTTCAAAGACCCAATGTTTAGTCAATACTTGAATGAATGAATGAATGAACAAAAGTAAAAAAAAAATTGCTATAATTTCTGGAGGCTAGAAGGAAGGATCATTAGTAGGTAACTACTTCTGTGTTTGATAAGCTTCCAATGTAAAATGTCTGCTCAGTTGCTCAGTCAAGTCCAACTCTTTGTGACCCCATGGACTATAGCCTTCCAGGCTCCTTCTGCCCATGGAATTTCCCAGGCAAAAATACTGGAGTGAGTTGCCATTTCCTCTTCCAGGGGATCTTCGTGATCCAGGGATCAAATCATTGCCTCTTGTCTCCTGCATTGGCAGGCAGATTCTTTATCACTATACCACCTGGTAAGCCCCCAGTGTGAAATAATAAACTGATATTCTGGATCTTAAATCAGTTGTTTGTGAATTTAATTTAGAAAAAATAAATCCCTTAAACCTCACCATTGTTGAGTACTGGTGATGGTAACTTAAGAGGTTTTTGAGCCCCAAAGGGAAAAATGAGATTAAGATACAGCTATTTTCTCCAAGGCATAGCCTGAAACAGTGAGACACTCTCTCTTCTTTACTGTTTTTTGGGGGGGGCAGGGGGAGGCTATATCTAGTGTTACATGCTCTATTGTATTTTTGGCTATTATCTAGTATTTCAGTTTTCTAAAAACCTACTGAAAGAATGTAATAATAAATTACCTCCCAATAACGCAGCTATGAAAAATAAATATTGCAATCCATCATCTTTTAAAAGCCATTTTCATTCATTCTTCTTTTGTTTATTTGCTTTTTAATACTTTTTTAAAAAAATTATAGATTCATAAGAAGTTACAAAAAATGTTCAGGGAGGTCTTCTGTATTTTTCATCCAGTTTCCCTCAATGGTACTAGTTTTGAACTATAGAAGCAGAAAACAGGATCTAATCTTTCTAAATACCTACCAGAACAAGAACAAATCTGGTGCCATTTTTCTTCATTTGCTCAATCAGGAGACCAAGATTTTGAAAGCTGGGGCTGAGGGTGAAGTCCAGCTTCCGGTCCATGTAGTCGATGTCTACATGCTGGACATCCTGTGGAAGGGAGCAAGCAGAATACTTAGGTCCCTGCAGCAGGAGCTCCTCGGGGCACATGAATTGCTCAGCCAGGCTCCGGTCCTACTGCCTGCAGACTCCAGACCAGGCCTCCCTGAACTTCTTATCTGTTATTCTCCTAGACTGACTTTTCAACTCTGCTGATTGAAATTGCTTTTTGATCCCTACATCCAGCTCACTGGTTCCCATTCTTTCTCTTTCTGCTCCTCCAACTGTATTTCCTCCCTTTCCTTCCCTCAATTTATGTCTTATCCATTCTTCAGATCTGAAACCCAATGAGCCTATTAAACAAAATGCTGGTTGAATGTTCAAGGGTAGAAAGCCATACTTGCCTGAGAAACAAAAGATTGTATATCTGTGTCTTTTTTCCACCCCTCCAATAAACCTGACTGAATTTATTCACATTTGCTGCTACTGCTGCTAAGTCACTTTAGTTGTGTCCGACTCTGTGCGACCCCATAGACAGCAGCCCACCAGGCTCCCCCGTCCCTGGGATTCTCCAGGCAAGAACACTGGAGTGGGTTGCCATTTCCTTCTCCAATGCCTAAAAGTGAAAAGTGAAAGTGAAGTCGCTCAGTCATGTCCAACTCTTTGAAACCCCATGGACTGCAGCCTACCAGGCTCCTCCGTCTATGGGATTTTCCAGGCAAGAGTACTGGAGTGGGTTGCCATTGCCTTCTCCTATTCACATTTAGAACTACATTATTTTATAGTTTTCTAGAATGTATTTATTCCTGCCACTCTCATTTGACTGGATGAGTCTTGGAGTGAGAACCTTGTCTTCCCTCTTCTCTATAAAGCACCAACTCAGGTTTCTGCACATGAAATTCACTTAATACTTGATTGTTGAATAATGACATCAAGTGGTTAATATTCAGTTCCTGATGGGGAGATGATGATTCTTTTTAGCCTGAAAGTGATAATCACCTGAATTGCCTTAAGACTTTAAGTAAAAGTTGTTCGAGGGAGGAGAGATTTGTTCATAAGCCAAAACTCGGAAAGAATGAATCAACACATTATTAACATTAATTGTCTCTGTGAGGTAAACCCATGGATTTTTTTAATCTTTTAATTTTCCTATCTTTTCTAATTTATGTTTAATAAGTATCTAGAATAGCAATCTATAAAAAGAAAAATTAAGCCTGGATGAATGTTTTAAATTATCTTTGACGAGAATATATAATGTTTTTTTTATTCTCAGCTGCCAATCATTAATTGTCCTCCAAAACCTCAGGAGGTGAATTGAGAGCAAAACAACTGCATGATGAGAAACTGATCATTACAGGAGGATAAGGAACATGCTATTTATGGAATTCTCCCTGTTGACAGCAAATGACTGCACTTCTAGGGCTTTATCTAGGGGATAGGTTGTTGTAGGATATGCTTATGCGTAGGTGTGTGTTTAACAAAAAGTGAAGGCTTACTATTAACTGGTTTCATTCATATTGTCCTTTTATATCCACCCTCCCCAAGAATAGCCATGGTTCAATTTCCTAAAATGGTTATAATCTTGAGATTATTTTCAGGTTCCAAAAGTCATGTCTCAAAGTCCAGCCACGGCTACTGCAGGATATTCCTAGCAAGAGGCAGGAACAGTATCCCCCCTCAAACTGCTGAAGGATTTATGCAACTCTCAGTTTGCAATGCTTGATTTTAAAGGGTTGCCTGAAATAAACTTAAAAGGTAATGTTTTCTAGATCCACAGCTACATTTTCTTCATGCTGAAGTAGTCCTCACTATTTGAATGAATTTCTATGAAGATATTCCAATCTATACTTAGCCACAAATTCCCACCACTAATTAAACCACAGACTGAATGAGGGTATCATACGTAGGGAATCTGAGCAGCCATCATTGCATCATACAAACTGGAGATTTCATAATCATCCTGGTATCCATAGCGACTCAGCTGGAATCCCAAGGCCCAGTAGGGAATCATTGCTGGGCGACCAATCAACTAAAATAAAAAAGAAAAATAGATTCAAGTAAATTTCTTTGGGAAGAAAAGATGATTGACTTATACTTGAAGCAACTTGAGCTCTTCTGTGAAGCTGTCTCATCTAAGAGGCTTCACTCAAGAAAAATAAGAAAGTCAAATAAATATGGATTAACCATAGAGATGCAGAATGGTAGAAAGTCTGTCTATAAACAGTATCCACTCTAGGAAACCTAAGAACTCAGTGATTATCACTGATTTGAAATTCTCAGGGAGGCAAATAGTTAAGAGAAGTATGGTATATCAATATGCCTGTAAATCCCCTAAACACTAACTCCTGACTTTCAGAAAAGACAGCAATAATGTAGTAGGGACATCCAAGGGCCTTAAGCGGGGGGAAATGGCCTTTCTCAGTGCTAAGAACAAGGCAATACCCAGCAAACATTGGATGATATATTGATGGGTAGAATAACCTCCAACCTCAGTGTATTGCTGAGTTACAAGCTCAGGAGTTGGCCCCAAAACCATATAAAAGTCCAAAATGCCTCCTGTGGTGCGGTATGTCAGGGCAGGAGTAGGCTGGAATGTCACATCTGTTAAAAAAAAAGAAGGTGAGGAGTATCCTTGGAACTATAAATCACCCAGTCAGGGAATCTGCCCTAAATTTTGCTATTTTCACTTTCTTAGGTTCTTATTTTAATGCCCACCTCCTCTAATAAGCCATTTCCCATAAAGTAGAATCAGAGAGGGATATTCAGGTACCTCAAACATAATCTCAGTCTCAACATCTTATTATCACTTTGTGAGAAAGAGCTAAAAGGTACAGTAAAATAAGGTCACACAAGATAGGCACTGTGTTTAGTGAAAATTGTACCCCTTTACCTGGCCTAGTGCTCTTAGTAAAACTTGAATAAATGAATGAATGGTAGGTGAGTTTATCTGTTTCATTTCCCTTGCCCTTGACTTTCCTTATTTCTGTTGATATTCCAAATCGCCGAAAGCGGTCCCAGATGTTTCTGGTGGTACACAGAGATTCTGTGTCTGTCTTACCCATGGCATTGCTGTTCAGTAGGAGCACTCCGTGGGCATTGCCATCCTCCTCCAGGGCCATGTAGTAGGGGTGGACGCCATAGGAGTTCTTCTTGTACTAGGAGGGTTGTGGGAAGAGCAGGAGGGTAATCAAGAAGAGAAAATCCAAGAAATCATTTTCACATCATAACCCAAACAGCAAACTCCTGCGCAGTATTGCAGATTCAGTACAATGTCATGTCTCTTGTGAAGACTTCCTTGACCCTTCCTTCCATCCCAAGTGTAAGCCTAAGTGCCCTCTCCCCCATGCCTTCCTTGTTTATTACTATACAAATCTATTGCAGCACTGGTTATATCACATTACCATTATTTCTGCCTCTCTCTCTCTTTCTCTTTTACTAGTTTATAAGCATCTGGAGAAAAAGACAGTGTCTTAATAAGACACTGTCTCATTCTATGTGTGCCCGACATGTAGAACATATTAAATAAGACTTTGAGAAATAAATAAAATCCATAGTCCACAGGAAATATATATATAAATAGGTAGTTTAGGGACAGAAAGGAAGGAGAACCTTAAATATGGTGTATTTCATCTGAGAGCAGAATATACAGGGATTAAACTAAATTTACATAGAGTAAAAATGTTGATGATTTTGGTCTGTGCTTACCGCTGGTGGCTCATCTCGGGCAAACATCCCCCACGTGTGCCAGCTGATGTTTCTTCTGAAAGTTGTATGCTCAGTTTCCCCAAAGCCATAGAGGTACTCAGAGGGGAGGCGTGTGGAGATGGAAAGGAACATGTCCCTGAAGGTGAAGCCGGGGAGCTGAGAGTCCCAACTGCAAGACGAGAGCAGACCTTGGTTCAGAGCTGGGCACAGGCCAGCGCAAACACGGGCTCCACGGGGATCGATTCCGAAGCCTCCTGAGTGGCTGAATATCTGGATCCATGCTCAAATGCTGTGAGACGACCCCGGTCATAACAATGGCCGTAACTCACTGCCAAGGTCCCGTGTTGGCGTCTGTATTTGTCTTCTGTCTTTTGCAAGGCTGAGAATTCCTTTACTGGGTCCTGGGTTCCTGGACCACAAGGACCACATCACCCTCATCTCTGTATTTCTACGTCTCCTTGCCCAACATATAAGCTTGAATAAATGCATGAATGAATGGATAAGATGGAAGCACATTTTTCTGTGGAAAATGTGATACTCTTACAATGGTTTTCTGGATTGGCCAAGAACTTCTTACCAAAGAAGGGAACAGACAGAAAGTCAGACATACAGTCAGAGAGAGCTGACAGCACACGTGTGCACCCAGGTCATGATTTATACATGGATGGGGAACCTCAGCCCCAGGCAAAATCCAGACCTTCACTCCAGTCCGCTCAGCAGCAGGACAAGGGATGAGAGATGACAGCTCCTTTCATGCTTACCACTGTGAAGAGGCTTTGAGTTTCGAATGTCGATAGAAGCAAAGACTGTAAGAAGCCACTTTGCCCTCATCAGTAACCTTTGTCCTTCTCTCCTGACTCTTCTGTTATTAGTTCTTAACGAGAGGATACAGAACTGATTTCTATCATGGGTTATGTCATACTTATTAAATAGAGTTTCCTGTCCTACTTAACAGGAACAAAGAATGGAACATGTATTTTCCTTTCTCTAAAAACAAGCACCGCTTAATTAGCTTGTGTAAACCTTTGGTTGATTCATTTTTCTTGTTAAGGCCTAATGGAAAATTAAATCCTTATTGAAGTAGGGGAAATAGACACATTCTTCATTGAACATATTGACATAGAGTCTCTAAAATTAATATTTCACTTGCATTCATGAGAGCCACTATAATTAGATCTAGAATCACTCTGCCGCTGCTGCTGCTGCTAAGTCACTTCAATCGTGTCCGACTCTGTGCGACCCCACAGAACCAAACAAAGAGTGCTTACATCACAGTTCTGGAGCTTTTTCTTCGAATCTGGATCCCAAAAGGATTGTTCTGAATGTTGACATCATACAGACGGTTTTCAGGGGAGCCCACTGGAGACGAAGGGGTGTTCAGAGGCACTGGGACCTCGTACCTTTTATTAGTGGGATCATAGATCTGCCAAGAAGAGAGAAGGAAGATTCTTCATGGAATCTCAGGCCTACAATTCCTTGTGCCAGCTTATATCAAATACAATTCAGTTTCCATATTTTCTGGCTGGTCTGAACATATCAGGAGGCATCAACTATCCTGAAACAAACACGTGTGAGGCCTACCCACCTACTGTGCCCAATATGGAGCCTGAACTCCAAAAATGCCTCAATATGACCTATGCAAAGCCAGCAAGGACACTTCTAAAAAATTTGTGATATAAGGGTATAGAATCTCATGGATAGAATGTGGGTGTGTGGGTGTGTGTGTGTGTTTATGAGGGTGTGGTATGGGAACATGCATGTGTATACAGTACCTTATGTGTGAGCATGTGAGTATATGTTAGAAATTAAAGAATTGAATTTATTTATGGACACTGAGGTCTTCTTACTGGTGGCATTTCCAGATGTTGTACAGTTTTTCCATCCCTAAGATGGCTCTCTTGTACCCACTGCTTGTCCCTATTTACCTGACAGGTGTGATGTGTGGGAAAAATGAGAGAAGGGAAGAATCTTGTTGGAGGCCCTGGAGTAGTGCCAGGATGAGCAAGCATCCTCTTCCTTATCGTACTATTAGCCAACTTTTTACACTTCAGACAAGCCTCTTTTCTTGATAGGTAAGAAGTGGATTTATTTAGAGAGAAACACACTTCACAGACAGAGTGTGGGCCACCTCAGAAGGCAAGAACCACCTCAAAATATGGCATGGTTAGTTTTTATGGGCTGGGTAATTTCATAGGCTAAAGAGTAGGAGGAATTATTCCAACTATTTCAGGAAATGGGCAGGGATTTCCATGAATTGAGCCACCGCCCACTTTCCAGCCCTTTATAGTCAGCTTCAGAATTGTCATGGTGCCTGTGGGTGCATCATTTGGCTTGCTGATGTGTTACAATGATCCTATATTGAGGATCAAGAGGCCCAAAGTCTAGTGGAAATTGACTTGTCTGCCATTTTGGACCCATTTGGATCTAATCAGTTTATGTCCTGTCCTCAGGTTTTATTATTTTCTTGTGCCCTGTCCCCTTCCCTCCTGTTTCAGACAAGTTTTCTCTAAAGCTTGGCTTCTCAATATTGTGTTTGTCAGGCCAAAAGCAGCTTTCACAGTGTTTCACAATGTTAAGCAGGATCACCAGGGAACTTGTTAAGACCACAGAATCTCAGCCTCACCCCAGACTTTCTGAATCTGGCTCTTCATTTTCGTAAGATCTCTGAGGTGACTCATCAAACACTAAAGTGTGAAAAGCAACATCTAGAGCTGACATGTCCAAGGAGGTACCCACCACATGTGGCCATGAAGCACTTGAATGTGCTGTCTGAATTGAGACTCACTATGAGTACAAAATACACAGCCAATTTTGAAGACCTAGTATGGTTAAATTGTGTTTGGATTACATGGTAATATGATAATATTTTAGCATATTGGTTAAATAAAATGTTACTAAAATTAATTTCATTAATTTTTTTCCAAATACATTTTTAAAACTATAGTTATTAGAAAACACGTGGGGACTTCCCTGGTGGTCCAGGGGTTAAGAATCTGCCTTGTAATGCAGGGGATGTGGGTTCCTTCTTCGGTCATGGAACTAAGCCCCTGCACCACAACTAGAGAGTCCGTGTACTGCAACAAAAGACCCCACATGAGGCACTGAAGACCGTGGATCAGACTGCATTTCTATTAGAGTGGAGAGAAGATGCGTGAGAGTTCCTTGGACTGCAAGGAGATCCAACCAGTCCATCCTAAAGGAGATCAGGCCTGAGTGTTCATTGGAAGGACTGATGCTGAAGCTGAAACTCCAATACTTTGGCCACCTGATNCTGACTCATTGGAAAAGAGCCTGATGCTAGGAAAGACTGAAGGTAGGAGGAGAAGGGGACGACAGGATGAGATGGTTGGATGGCATCACCAACACAATGGACATGAGTTTGAGCAAACTCCGGGAGTTGGGATGGACAGGGGAGCCTGGCATGCTGCAGCCCATGGAGTTGCAAAGAGTTGGACATGACTAAGTGACTGAACTGAGTGGGTCTCCAAGAGTGGCCCCTGAAGTTACAGCATCAGCACCACCTGAAAACTTGCTAGCAGTGCAGATCCTTGGGTTGGAAACTCTGGGGGATCAGACCAGCCATCTTTTAACAAGATCGGCAGGTGATTCTGATACAGGTGCGGGTGCTAAAGCTTGAGAACCACAGCTAGAGAAATAACCCTGATGTCAGAAGTGGGTTGTTGCCACTTAAATGACTTACCACATAGCAGACACATTTTTCAGAGGGCTAAAGAAGGACTCTTTGAGGATATTCGCGACTTAGAGTACCCACTGTTATAAGAAATTACCACCCCCAGTGATCTAAGGTTACATCCCACCCCAACTCTCTCCTAACTTTCTGATCTTCACCTCCTGGGGCCTCAGCAGCCCCACTTGTAAAATGAGGGAGTTGGATTAAAGCTGTTTCAATGTCTTCCAGCTGCATGGAGCTGTCAGCTAAGAATTCCAACCATGGAGACACAGGACTACCTTGAACTGTAGCATGTTCTCTGTGTGGTAGATGACACTCAGGCGGAGAAAGCCGATGGCTGCAGAGAGAGTGTCGGAGGCAGAGGCGGCCTTCGCTGCGGCTGCAGGCGGGGGTAGCTTGTCCCGTGATGATGGTGGTGGCACCGTAGCTTGTGCAGCTTCCGAGGCTGTCAGGTGGGTGAGGTCTACGGTGATGCCCGTGGGCAGGTACTGAATGTTGCTGGCAGTATAATTAGGGATGGTGTCGTAGAAACAGGTGGGCACCCCAGGAACAGTCGTGGGCTGGAACAAGAGGAGGACCTCAAGGTCAGCCTCTGACACCATGCTTTGAGACTCTAATTACAGAAGAAGGTGGTTAAACCAGACTCAGCCTCTTACTCTATGCCCATTGCTATGAGTTGAGCTATATTCCCCAAAGAGATGGTAAGTCCTAGACCCTGGTACCTGTAAATAAGCTACCTGGTGCCTTGTTTGGAAATACAATCTTTGCAGCTGATCAAGTTGAATGAGGTCATTGGGACAGAGCTAGCCAATATAACTAGTGTCCTTAGTAAAAGGGGAAACTGAGGCACAGACATGCACCTGGGGAGAACATCACGTGAAGATGAAGAGGTCAGGGTGATGTTTGTATAAACCAAGGAAGCCTGCAGATTGCCAGCAAACCACCAGAACCCAGGAAAGGGACACAAAACAGATTTTCCCTCTTGGCCCCTAGAAAGCATCAACTCTGTGGACAGTTTGCTCTCAGACTTCCAGCTCCCAGATGCTGAGATAATAAATGTCTGTTGTTCTAAGTCACCCAGTTTGTGGTACTTGGCTATGGCAGCCCTAGCAAATGAATACATCCATTTAAACATACACAGGGATTTCCTTGGAGGTTGAGTAGCTAAGACTCCGAATGCCCAGTGCTGGGGGCTTGGGTTGGATCCCCGGTCAGAGAAACGGATCCCACATGCCTCAGCTAAAGGTCCCACATGCCACAACTAAGACCCAGCACAACCAAATAAACAAATAAAAATAAAGAAAATAACACACACACACACACACACACACACACACACAGGCCTCATCTAACGGTGAAGGGCCTGCAGGAGACCTATCTGGAGACTGAGTTCTAAAGCAGGGCTCTGCTCCCCATGTCCTTACTGTCCATTATTGTGATCCCGAGGGCATCACTGATTTTCTCTGGCCTTCGTTCTCTCTATTTCTCAAAGGGAGAGAAACAGCATTACCTTATCTTTCTGCTTGGACTCACCAACAGATGGGAGGGAAAATCACTTAAAATACTCAGTGCATTCCCACTGCAGTATAGCCATGTTCGGGACAAAGTGGGATTTGAAATGCTGTGGTTGTAGGAAAGAGAGAGTCAGTGAGCTGGTCCTTATTCAGGTCTCTGAATGAAACACTGATCGCCTATCACATGCAACTGATAGAAACACCTCATCAGTTGCCATAGCATCATTTGCTTCCTGAAGATGATTACAGTTTAATCTATCAACATTTGGAAAGTGTTTCCTGGGTACCCAGTTACCCATGGGACACTTTTCACAGCTTCCTGCTCACTGGGGCAGCCTGCTCCTGCTCCTTACCTCCCAGAGGCACCCCCGCTCCCTGCAACTCTCCTCGGAGACAGCGGGCTGCTCAGGAAAGCAGTCAAACTTCTGCAGGTCACTGACCGGAAGATCCCACTGAATGGAGAATGTTTGTCCCAGTACCAGTCCCTTGAGGTCAGTGATGTTCACCACCTGAGGAAAGAGAAAGGGGCGTGATGACACATGAGACGAGGTGCAGCTGCCTGGATAATGTCCTTCTCTGATGGTCATGTAGTCGGGACCAGGGAAACCAGCCGTTTGACCAACACCGCTTTGAAGTAGGAAATTCGTAATTCTCTTTTTTCTTCTCCTCTGGGTCTTTCAACCTCTCTGTCAGGAAAATGAATCTGACTTCCTCCAGACCTTTCTGAGCTCACGGAGCCAATGTGGGATATTGAATGGAAAGAGTTTCAATCTTGTTAAGGAACACAGATCACAGGCAGGGAGGTCATTTCAGATTCATTGTCCCCTGGGCACGGGGCTCAGACATTTTACTAACAATGGCAGTAATGACCAGAGCTAAACTTTACTGAGTCTGTCAAGCACTGTGATAATCACTTCATATGCATTATCTCTATGAGTCCTGTAAAGTAATCCTATGCTATGAATAATATGACTATCTCAGTTTTACAAATCACAACACTGAGGTTCAGAGAGGTTTACTGTTTTGCTCAAGATCTCACAGCTGGGGCTCAGCAGAGCTAGTATTAGAACCCTATTCTGCCTAACCCTAAAAAGTAAGCTCTTGTCCTTTTCTATGTGTGTTGTCAAAGTGGAAGGGGGCAGGGACTTCCCTGGTGGTCCAGTGGTTAGATTCTGCACTCCCAATGCAAGGGCAAGGGTTCGATCCCCGATCAGGGAACTAAGATGGTGCATGCTACACCATGCGGCCAAAAGAAGATTTAAAAAATAAAAATTAAATTAAAAAGAGGGCTGCCCTAAGGAACAGTGAATTTCCCAGTGCTTGAAATATTAACTAGCGACTGGGACTTTTCTTTTTGAATGATTATCACGTAAGGGAAACATTCCATAGAATAAAAGCAGATTACTCTTTGTGTTTGATTAAATTCTCATTTTCGGCAGTGGTATAAAAATAGTTTAGAACAGGAAGGAAAAATAGCAACTGTGTCTCAAAGATAAGTCCTTAATGTAAATGAGAGAACACAGGTGTCATTGTTCTCCAGAACTAGGCCAATGTATTGAATCATATTTTCTCTATCACATCTGACATTAGCACATATACTTTTAAATAGCCCAGAGAAGAACTGCCTTCTTCAAGGGTATTAACTCCTACTGCCTGCTTCAGTGTCCCGACGCAAGCAAAGCTCCAGGGTCCGTATCGAGCACGCACAGATTTCTCCTTCTACATTCTCCCTGTGGTTCCCCAGCAAGCCGGCTGTCTCTGTGCCCACCCAGAGTCAACAGAGCAAGAACGAGCTGACTGTCCGAAGCTCAGGTGAGGGCTGTTGGCAGGGGCACCGCAGCAAGGAACAATATCCCACCTTTGTTGATTCTGTGTAGACAACGTTTGAAATGGGGGTGGTAGCATCATTTAGGGAGACAGTAAAATTAGTAGGTTTCTTGTCCATTCCCAAGATTGTGATATCTGTAAATGTGAGTTTGTCGGGGTCCGTATAATTAGCATGTATAATCGTTGCCAGGAGACGATTCTGTGGGGAAAAGAAGTCAGTTTAGAGACCAGGTATATCTCACTCTGATTGTGTCCAAATGCCTTTCCATATCTTTCTGAGATCCCAAGAGATCCTTTACCTGTGAGGTTCTAAATGGTGCCGGGTGATCATCCCCAGGGAATTTTTCAAGTGAGACTTGTAACAGTCTTTAAGTAATCTTTTAGTAATATTATGTACTTGTTTTAGTTTACTGGTTCTTTGTTGATTCTATTACTCAGAAAATATGTTGCTGACACCATGGAATTCTCAAACAGACAAAATGACACATGTACAAAAAGAGACACATAGGCATGTGAAGATATACACATTCATACACATACAAAATAATGCCCAAATTATTATTTTTTCTTTTAATGATAATGATGATAGCTAAAATTTATGAATGTTCACTGTGTGCCAGACCTTGTGCTAAGTATTTTACATGTATCATCTCATTCAATTCTCACAGCAAACTCTGAGACTGAGGCTCTAATAATCCCCGTTCTTCAGATGAAGAGCCTAAAGCCAAGATAATGTAGAAAACCTATCCAGGGAACCACAGTTCAAAAGTGACAAAGTTGAGTGATGACAAAAAGGTAGAACCGATGACTGAAGATAAAAAGGGACACTTTGATGTTTAAAAAAATTAAGCATCCCACAGATACATGTCCAAATGATTTTTTACAAAAGCAGTGTAATGGAGAAAGGACAGCCTTTTCAACAGATGATGCTGGAGCCATTGGACATCCATAGGCAAAACGCGAAATTCAACCTAAACCTTATGTCTTATATAAAAATTAACTCAAAATTGGGAGTTCCCTGGTGGTCTAGTGGTTAGGACTTGGCACTTTCACTGTCATGGCCTGGATTCAGTCCCTAATTGGGGAACTAAAGTCCCACAAGACCTGCAGTGTGGCTCAAATTTTTCTTTTAAATTTAATCTAAAAAAATTAACTCAAAATAGGTAATAAACTTAAATATAAAGGGTAGAACTATAAACATTTTAGGAAAAAATGGGAGGAAGTACTGAAGAACTATGAAGGGTTCTTATACTAGACACCAAAAACATGATCCATAAATGGAAAAAATGATAAATTAGACCTTTGAAAATTAAAAAATTTTCCTCTGAGAAAGACTGTTAAGAAGATGAAAAGAGCAACCTACAGACTGAAAGGAAAAAAAAATTTACAAACTATGTATCCAAGAAGGGAACTCTCAAAGCTGAACAGAAAACTAAGTTAAACAAGCCAATTAGAAAATAGGCAGAACTGGAACATTTTATCTAAGAGAGTATACAGCTGGCTAATGAAAAGACACATGAAAAGATGGTCAACATCATTAAATGTCAGATAAATACAAATTGAAACCACAATGAGCTATCACTGCTGCTGCTGCTAAGTCGCTTCAGTCATGTCCGACTGTGCAACCTCAGAGGTGGCAGCCCACCAGGCTCCCTGTCCCTGGGATTCTCCAGGCAAGAACACTGGAGTGGGTTTCCATTTCCTTCTCCAATGCCTAAAAGTGAAAAGTGAAAGTGAATGGGCTCCAGTTGGATGAAACTGGAGCCCATTATACAGAGCGAAGTAAGCCAGAAAGATAAAGACCATTACAGTATACTAACACATATATATGGAATTTAGAAAGATGGTAATGATAACCCTATATGCAAAACAGAAAAAGAGACTCAGATGTATAGAACAGACTTGTGGACTCTGGGAGAAGGCGAGGGTGGGATGTTTCAAGAGAACAGCATCGAAACATGTATATTATCTAGGGTGAAACAGATCACCAGCCCAGGTTGGGTGCATGAGACAAGTGCTCGGGCCTGGTGCACTGGGAAGACCCAGAGGGATCGGGTGGAGAGGGAGGTGGGAGGGGGGACCGGGATGGGGAATACATGTAAATCCATGGCTAATTCATTTCAATGTATGACAAAAACCACTGCAATGATGTAAAGTAATTAGCCTCCAACTAATAAAAATAAATGGAAAAAATAAAAAAATAAAAATTTTTTTTAAAAAAAGTGAAAGTGAAGTTGCTCAGTTGTGTCTGACTCTTAGCGACCCCGTGGACTGCAGCCTACCAGGCTCCTCCATCCTTGGGATTTTCCAGGCAAGAGGACTGGAGTGGGTTGCCATTGCCTTCTCTGGAGCTATCACTACACCTTTATCAAAATGGCTAATTTTTTTTTTTTAGTGTGATAACATCAAATGCTGGTTACAATGCAGAGAAACTGGGTGACATACATTGGTGGTGGAAATGTAAAATAGTACAGCCATTCTGAAAAAGAATTCAGCAGTTTCTTATAAAACTAAGCATATAGTTACATAATACCCAGCAACTGCACTCTTGAGCATTTATCCCAGACAATTGAAAATTTGTGTTCACATAAAAATCTGTTCCTAGCAGCTTTACCTGCAATATCCCATGACTGGATTATTAGTCCCAGATTCCCTTACTTAAGTGCATAGTTAAACATATCTCAGAATGATGCTCAGCAATAAAAACAAACTGACTTTTGACATGGAAAAGCTTGGATGAATTTTGAGGAAATTATGTTGCATTAAAAAAGCCACTTGCCAAGGCTTCATGCTGTATGATTACATTTACATAACATTTTTGAAGGGACGAAATTATAGAAATAGAGAGAAAATTTGTGGTTTCCAAGAACTAAGGATGAGGTTGAGGCTTGGGGCAGGTGGAGGCAAGTAGATTGGACAACAGGAGAGATCCTTCTGACCATGGAAATATTCTGCATCTTGATAGTGAGAGGGTAACAGGCATGAAGGCTAGGGGTCTCCAAATGGAGGAAATAGGTTGCAAGTGTCAGATTTTTTTTTGTCTCTCTATATATATAAAATTAAAAGGAGATTTCTCTTAAAATTCTGTGTTGCCATGGCAACACCTGGTTCCATCTGAACTTGACTTTTTTCAAACCTTGAGCCAACCAATGTGTTTTTCTTATGGAAATGTTTTTCTTAAGCTATGTTAATGAGCTATGTATTTACCCTAGACTCTGTCTTTCTTCAAGTTGGTTCCACCTAAGACTCAGAACCAACTTGACACACCATTGTGTTTTACTCATGCAAATGTTCTCGTAAGCTATGTTAATGAGACTATGTATTTGCTTGAAAACCTGACTTTCTTCAAGATTCATGTCAATCATTTTATGGCCCGGGATGACTCACCTTGTGTTAATGTTATCTTAAAATACATGTTGTGGGTGAGGGGCCTGGTGCTACTCTCCGAGTTTTGAGACATTTCCTTTCTCTAATTAGCAGACTGCTAGTAACTATATAACTCCCTTCTAAAGACTAGCATGGTGTAGGGGGGGGTAGGGGGAGTGGGCACTCTTTCTGCCCCCTTCTGATATCTATGTCAGAAGCTTCCTCTATCTCTTTTATACTTTAATAAAACTTTAATACACAAAAGCTCTGAGCGATCAAGCCTCATCACTGGCCCCAGATTGAATTCCTCTCCTCTGGAGGCCAAGAATCCCGATGTCTTTCATGGCTCAGCAACAGCCTTTCAATAGCATAGATGTCAATATTCTTGTTGTAAACTTGTACTATAGTCTTATAAGATGTTCCAATTAGGGGAAACTGGGTAAAGAGTACAAGGGAACTCTGTATTATTTCTTATAACATGGGGCTCTATAATTATGTCAACATAAAAAGTATCATTTAAAAAGCAATATGGGACTTCCCAGACTTCCCTGGTGGCCCAGACAGTAAAGAATCCACCTGCATTGCAGGAGACCTGGGTTTGATCCCTGAGTTGGGACGATCCCCTGGAGGAGGGCATGGCAACCCATTCCAGTATTCTCGCCTGAAGAATCCCCATGGACAGAGGAGTCTGGTGGGCTGCAGTCCATGGGGTCGCAAAGAGTCAGACAGCACTGAGCAACTCAGCATATGGGACTTCCCTGGTGGTACAGTGATTAAGAATCTGCAATGCAAGGGATGTGGGCTTGATTCCTGGCCAGGGAACTAAGATCCCACATGTCATGGAGCAACTAGCCCATGCATGGCAACTAGAGCCAAATTCAGCCAAATAAATAAACATTTAAAAAATAAAAGGCAATATGAATTTAAAAGAAAGAAGAAATAAGGGAGAGAGAATCCCACACAAGAAAGTTCTGCCCATGCACAAAGAGACATCTAAGAAAACCAATTCGGTGTTCTCCCATCCCCTTCCAGCCTTACTGCCATTCTTCCTCTTAGTTCCCCTGAGAAGCAGACTCCAGGCAAGTAATGCACTGCATCTCCTAATCTCTCAAAGCCACCACTTAATACCTGTGTCCAAGGCCAAGCATTAGTGGCTAGAAAGGAAGTTCCTTGATGGAACAACTTCAAAAAGGCTCTACATACCTCATCACCCCCCATCCACACCCCACCCACTTGTATCCTCTCAAATAAGGACACATCTTGGAAGCCCAGACTCATCATATAAAACTCGAAAGCAATCTTTTTTTTTTTTTTTTTTTTTTTTTTTTTTTTTTNGCTGCTGAGCCTGTGCTTTAGAGCTTGGGAGCCACAACTACGGAAGCCCACATACCCCAGAGCCTGCGCTCCACCACAAGAGAAACCACCGCCAAGTGCAGCCCGTGTCCGTCACAAGAGAAAAAGCCCACACAGCCATGACGACCCAGCACAGCCGAAAATAAATAATACAGTAAATAAACAAATAATTAAAAAACCATTTTGACTTGCATTTGCAGTTATCTACACGCCCTTCCTCTCTCTGGACCAAGACTTCCTCAAGGGCAACGGCTGTCCTGTGTGCTAAGTCATTTCAGTCGGGTCTGACTCTTTGTGACCCCATTACTATAGCCCGCCAGGCTCCTCTGTCCATGGGAATACTCTGGGCAAGAATACTGGAGTGGGGTGCCATGCCCTCCTCCAGGGGATCTTCTAGACCCAGGGATCTCACCTGCATCACTTATATCTCCTGACTTTGCAGATAGGATCTTAACCCACTGAGCCACCGGGCAAGTTTAGGCCCTGCACATAGCCCAATAATAAATAGCCAAGAACTATTAATAAATGCTAATTCTATGTAGGACAGATTTTTATATAATGAGACCTGAAGTTTATGTGAGGTACTTATATGTGAAAAAAACACTGCACAAATTAGATACTTGCCTCTCAATAGCAACCAAGGCAATATTTTACATTCTATTAATAAATTATAGCTTCCATTGGAGAAGGCAATGGCAACCCACTCCTGTGTTCTTGCCTGGAGAATCCCAGCGATGGGGGAGCTTGGTGGGCTGCTGTCTACGGGGTCGCACAGAGTCGGACGCGACTGAAGCGACTTAGCAGCAGCAGCAGCAGGTGGTGCTAGTGGTAAAAAAAAATCTGCCTGCCAATGCAGGAGACATCAGAGCTTCAGGTTTGATCCCTGGGTCAGGAAGATCCCCTGAAGTAGGAAATGGCAACCTGTGCCAGTATTCTTGCCTGGGAAATTCTATGGACAGGTGAGCCTGGCGGGCTACAGGCCATGGGGTCACAAAGAGTCAGATGCAACTGAGCACATGTACACATTAACATAATGTATTATTCTGGCATTAATAATGACATCCAGAGAACAGTATAAACTAAATCCAATAATATCTTTTGCTTTGGTAGAGTCAATAACACACAAGTTACTCATTTGAAGTCTATTTTAATGTATGTGTTTGACTAGTGGAACTTAAAGAATGCATTGATTCTAAGCTTTAGAAATAAGCATCAGTGATAACAAAGCTCGTGCATACTGGGCAGTCTGCCAAGATGAACTGCCATTAAGAAGCGCAGAGATGGGACCATAAAGAAGTCTACCTTTAGAGACACCGTCATCCCAGTACAGTTCTCCCTTTGCTTCTCGCTTATAGTCCAAGGCAATGATGAGTCCCAGAGGGTTCTTCCGGCTGTAAAAGAGCAATTCTCAGTTTCAGAGAATGAAGAAGAGATAGAATAGTCTTAAGCCAGCCCCCTTCATGCCCCAGGAACAGACTATCTTGGAGACAATCTCAGGTATTAAGTAGATGCTGATGCTGTCTGAAAACACGGAAGCTGGGTGTGGGTAGACAGCAGAGACAAGTAGTGAATGAGCTTAAAAAGAACAGTAGATGGAGGCAGTTCCTGCTGAGAACCGCACTTATGATAATACTAACAATTAGTACTTACTGGATGCTTTCCACATGGCAGGCACTCTTCTAAGCATCCCATATGCCTTAAACCATTTCTATTATTTCATCTGAGCCTCTTAATAACTCTAAAAAGTTGAAATACCACCATCTCCAGTTTACTAATGATGAGCAGAGACACATACAGTAAGTTGCCCGTGGTGACACTTCTTGTATGTAGCAGAGCTGAGGCTCGAACCCAAATTTTCTGACTCTTGACCTTAAACCTATGTTGACTTTCATCTCTTACCTCCTATTAACTTGCATTGTCTCATGCCTAAGGAAATCTACTTGAAGACACTTTCTAACTTGGGGAATCCTCATGAGTGATTATTTTGACCATCCTTACAATTTGATGCAATTTACAAGTGAAAGACAATGGGAATGTAAAGGAACCGAGGCTACATTTATCCCCTGCTAAATGAAGATGCCAATTCTGGGCTTGAGAGGAAGTGAGTAAGATGAGTTACTGTAGCTATTTTCCCTTAGTTGATCCACTTTCAGTTCCAATTTTTCTTTCCCATAACACTCTGCCCCCTTATAAGAGTAAGGAGCTTACCTGGCCTCTGTGGTCGTGTTTGGCTTCTGGGTGGGAAAGATGTAGCCCCCTCGGAGGTGAAGTCCTATCTTATCACCTGGCAGAAGCATCTCCACAAACTGTTTCCTCCATTCTATGGCTACTTGCTAGCCAACAAAAGGGGAAAAGACCAGATAATACATTGTTTGGGCTACAAGTGACATTGGAATTATCTAGTTCAGTTGCTTCATTCTAAAGAAGAGAAAAACAGAGGACCCCAACCACCACCACACCTCCCAAAGTGAAGTGACTTGCCCAAGGCACATAGGAAATAGCAGAGCCAAGACTCCAGCCTATCCTATTTCCTTATATTACACCATGCTGTGTGTGATTCCACACTTGGGTTTTAATTCTGTCGATCATCACAACCTAAGGCCCACTACTAGTCCACATAGCTGCAGAATAGCCAGTCAAATCTCCTGAAAATTTCCATAAGCCTACTCTAGTTATTCAAATTATTCCATTGTACCCCAGGAAAGGCCTTCTTCCCAGGAACGCACCCATAAGCAACTAAGTGTAAAGCCTTGTTTTATTAGCCTACCCCAAGCGCCCAAGACTACTGCCTCACTCACCGTTTCATAGTCGTACCAGATGGCGTCAGGTATGTATGCTCTTGCATAGTTCAGACCCTGGGGAAACATAACGGTGAGCAACACTGTCACAACCCTTTACAGTTTACACGACACCCTCACCCGAGGTGGTGTGTGCTCACTGCAACACTCCTGAGAGAAAGTTGGGATCACACATCCTACACGTAAAATCCTCAGAAAAACTGGGCAGATTAACCAAAACAGAGCTGTTCCTAGAAGTGAAGACTGTTTTGCTTGGAGACTGCTGAGAAAAGCAGAGAAAGCGTATTCCCTGGGTCCCTTGTGTAATCTGATAGAAGGAGCATGAAGCAGCTAGGCCCTCCGGAGAGCTTTGTAGGAGGACTACTTGTGAGCTAGCAGGACCTACCATGAAATGCTGGGGCTAAAATATCAGCTCCAAGGGCCTTTGACTTGAGTCCATGGGCCCTCTCTCATGTTTATAAACAGATCAGCATAATCCTGACCCCTCTCCTACTCTTCCCTACTCACCCCTGCCCTTGATTCTACTTGGTCCTTCCTACAGGGACTCCAGAGTAACACCCTCCCCTTCCCCAGCACCCCTCTCTCCCTCCACACTCTTCTCCCCACCTCTTCTCTTCCCCCACCCCGACTTTAGGAAACACATCCCCTCTGGTCAATGGCAAGCACAGACAGATGATCAGCCTGAACTCCCAGGTATACAAATCCCCCATCAGTACCAAGGCCACATGCTTAAGGAAACAAGCTTTAAGGCAATTTTGCAAAATGGAGATTGCTTTGCTTGGCAAATTGAGAGTGAGATCAATAGTTACTACTTTTTATAATTTCCAAATTGTCATGCTCTCTCCCTCCTATTTGTAGTCAGATTTATCTTTAAACACAGACACTCGAGACCCAGCTTATTCCGCTGTAGATCCACGAGAACAAGTGGGAGAGTCCACCCCATTGTTCAGATTATAAACACACTTCATATAAAACAGGAGTGATGAGGAGTCCAGGTCCCCAGAGGAACTGCTCATGCACCTCCCAGGTAGCTGGGTCCTGGTAGAACCTGGAAAACAGAGAAGGCAGGTAAAGCCTGAGTACAGAACAGCCGAACATGGTTTGGCAGCAGGGTCCTAACTAACCTTGTTGCTACTAGCAAGGTAAGTGACGTTATGATCTGAAAGGGAGTCTTTGCAGGTCAGGAAGCTTACTCGTGGACGAGGGGCCTTGCTACGGTCTCCCCCAGGGTATGAGCTCGGTAGAAAAGGGTGTAGAGATAGGGCAGCAGGGTGTAGCGGATGTTCAGATAGTATCTGGAGGATTCCAACAGCATAGCATTGTTTTCACTGAAGGCAGCAGGATCCTGGTCCTAGAAGGAAATGTAAGCAATTACTAAATATTTCCATCAAATCTCTGAAGCTCTCTTGGGATAAGAAGCTTTCTCAAGTGAAAGCAGTCATGTTTCCCAATTCAGAGGATGTTAAAGCATTTCTAGAACTGCAAGGATCTTGGTTCTCCTTATTCATTTTATAGATGGAAAAACAGTATCAAAGATTACATGACTTCCCCAATGTCAAATTTTAAGCGAGTGGCAGAGTTTAAATTTGATACATCTGCCAGTCTATGATGCATCTGCAGCCTCAGGGTGATCAAGAGGCCTCCAGAAGTGGCCATGGAGATAAAGGGGCTATAGTCGGCCCTGCTCCCCTAGAGCTATTGCTCCAATGTATGTTATTTATTAAGGTTTCTGATAATACTTCACTTGGCATATAATGCAATAAAGTTGTGAAAACTGAAAGTGTTGTTGCTCGGTCTTGTCTGACTCTTTGTGACCCCATGGACTATAGCCTGCCAGGCTGCTCAGTCCATGGAATTCTCCAGGCAAGAATGCTGGAGTGGATTGCCATTCTCTTTTCCAGGAGATCTTCCCAGCCCAGGGATCGAACCCAGGTCCCCCACATTGCAGGTAGATTCTTTACCATCTGAGCCACTCCTACTATTTGAAACCAATGGCCTTAAGCCACACTGCCTACCACCATGATGTGCAATCCTTCTCTCCCTTTCCTTATGGTTTTGGAAATTTGCAATTTTAAAATTTATGTCTGGTTTTGTCTGTAATGTTTTCATCATCAAAATATGTTTTATTTTCTCTATTCCAAAGACAGTGACTTCTATTTGTTCTTCAATGTACAATGTGCAAAAAAAAAAAAAATCATGAGTATAGCTTTTAGTAGATAGTGTTGTCTTTTAGTCACTGAGTCAAGTCCAACTCTTCGTGATCCCATGGACTGTAGCCTGCCAGGCTCCTGTCCATGGGATTTCTCGGGCAAGAGCAATGGAGTAGGTTGCCATTTCCTTCTCTAGGGAACTTCCAGACCCAGGGATCGAATCCACATCTCCTGTTGAGTAGGTGAGCTCATTGAGCCACCTGGGAAGCCCCTAGTAGATTTTATCCAAGAACAGACCAAAAAAACCCTTTTAGATGGAAAACCTAATTTGCTTCCCAGAAACAGAAATTTTCCATTAATGATGAGCAGTTGTTATGTTCATTTTCACTATAATTGGAAAGATGTGAAAGATATGTGTGCCATATTTAGATCAGTCATCTTGTATTCTATTTCTGGAATAATTTTAGAGAAAATTGCTTAAATTTTTTCTTTAATCCCTAAGATGCCCATTTCACCCCTTCCGCATAGAACTGTTCCATGAGACCACTCAATCGCCCCAGTGTGAGACTCATGAAAATCCTGAGGCCAAACACCAAAGAAAATAACACTCCATAGCCTCCATCAGTTTGGTCTCCAGCAGAGAAAGTCCAGAGCTGCACCATCCATTATGGTGGTTACATGGTACATGAGGCTACTCCACATTTGAGATGTGGTTAGTAAGACCAAGGAATAGAAATTTTAATAGATAGTGTTGTCTTCTAGTCACTGAGTCAAGTCCAACTCTTCGTGATCCCATGGACTGTAGCCTGCCAGGCTCCTGTCCATGGGATTTCTCAGGCAAGAGCAATGGAGTAGGTTGCCATTTCCTTCTCTAGGGAACTTCCAGACCCAGGGATCGAATCCACATCTCCTGTTGAGCAGGTGAGCTCATTGAGCCACCTGGGAAGCCCCTAGTAGATTTTCTCCAAGAACAGACCAAAAAAACCCTTTTAGATGGAAAACCTAATTTGCTTCCCAGAAACAGAAATTTTCCATAAATGATGAGTAGTTGTCATGTTCATTTTCACTATAATTAGAAAGATGTGAAAGATATGTGTGCCATATTTAGATCAGTCATCTTGTATTCTATTTCTGGAATAATTTTAGAGAAAATTGCTTAAATTTTTTCTTTAATCCCTAAGATGCCCATTTCACCCCTTCCGCATAGAACTGTTCCATGAGACCACTCAATCGCCACAGTGTGAGACTCATGAAAATCCTGAGGCCAAACACCAAAGAAAATAACACTCCATAGCCTCCATCAGTTTGGTCTCCAGCAGAGAAAGTCCAGAGCTGCACCATCCATTATGGTGGTTACATGGTACATGAGGCTACTCCACATTTGAGATGTGGTTAGTAAGACCAAGGAATAGAAGTTTCCATTTTATTTTATTTTAATCCATTTAAATTTAAACCTAAAAATGGAATCAACATAAAATATTTTTTTCCATTAAACATTATTATTTTGGTAGGATTTCACTTTACTCCAACTATTAAAAAGTTAGCATCCTAATTGATATGCATTGTCAAGTGTAGAATGCACATTTAAATTTGAAGGCTTAGTAGAAAACAAAAAGAATATAAAATAGCTCATTAACATTATGTGTCAAACCCAGATTGAAATGATAATTTTAGGGATATATTGAGTTATATAAAATATATTAAGAATAATTGACCCCATTTCTTCTCATTTTTAAAAAATTTACACTTAAACTTAGATATATGGCTCTCATTATTATTCTACTGAATGGCACTAGTTGAGAGGAAAGGAAAAAGGCCCTGGAACCCAAAAACCTAAGTGATCTGAGTGCACTTGTCTGTATTAAGTGTTTCCAGGCCATCTCTTCAGGAAGTGAGCCCACGCTACCTGCTTCCAGCCCCTTGCTTAGAAGTCCAGCAATAGTTTCTCTCTCTCTAGATCACCAATAGCTAGGAAAGCCCAGGGATAAAATACTTGGCTGTGGGTCTTTCCCAGGTTAGAGACATGTCATTGGATAAAATTGAGAACTGAAACTAAAATGACCATTAATAAGTTACTCTAATTAGTCTATTAAGAGCTAAACCACTCAAATGAAACATTTCAGCTGCGGATGAGGTCATTAAAAGAAAGAGCATCCCACCTTACTCATCCCTAGCATCACCAAAGACATCTCCTTAGGGGGGACTTGGAGTAAGTGTCCGTCGACAGAGGAGTGGATAAAGATGTGATGCATATACACAGTGGAATATTACTCAGCTATAAAATAGAGCAAAATGAAATAATGCCATCTGCAGCAACATGGATGGACCTAGGGATTGTCACAGGGAGTGAAGAGCATCAGAAAGAGAAAGACAAATAGAGGGTATCACTCATATGTAGATTCTAAGCAAATGGTACCAGAGAATGTATTTACAAAAGAGAAATAGAGTCACAGACGTAGAAAACAAACTTGTGATTATGAGAGGGGGAGGGGTGGGGGCAGGGATAAGCTGGGAGATTGGAACTGACACATACACATCACTGTATATAAAACAGACAACTACTAAGACCTCCTATATAGCACGGGGAACTCTACCCAATACTCTGTAATGACCTATATGGGAAAAGAATCTAGAAAGAGTGGATATACGAATATGTATAATAGATCCACTTTGCTGTGCATCTGAAACTAATGCCACATTGCAAATCAAATGTACTTCACCTTTTTTAAAAAAATGGAATATAGGGGGAAAGGAGACACGCTACTAGGTGAAACGTCAATTTTACAGTCATTCCGGAAGGCAACCTAGGAACATATAATAAAATTTAATATACTTCAGAAGAGGGGACTTTGAACCTACAGCTACACTTGCCCATAAAAAACAGGACCTTATATAGAAGAGGCTAAAAGTATGATGAGTCATGAGAAGCAGTGGGGGTGGTCTCATGAACCATTCCTAGAAAGACAGAATGTGTAACGGGGTGAAAACAAAGTTCAAGTCCCTGGCCTGTCCCTCCCTAAATCCTTCCTCCCCAGTCTCCCTTATCTTGGAGGAGTTTCCCTTGTATTAACTGAAGAAAAACTCAGTGGATTCTGTCTCAACTTATATAAGGTAGTAACAGAAGCAATGGGGCTTTGCTGGTGGCTCAGCGGTAAAGAATGTGCAGGCTGATGTAGGAGATCCTACATGGGTTTGATCCCTGGGTCTGGAAAATCCCCTGGAGAAGGAAATGGCAACCCACTCCAGCATTCTTGCCTGGGAAATCCCACGGACAGAGGAACCTGGAGGGCTGCAGCTTATGGGGTCACAAGAGAGTCAGACGAGACTTAGAGACAAAACAACAACAAACAGAATCAATAGCAGCACCATGGACACTTTCACAGTGCTTCTCACCTTACTGGTGAGTTTCCAGCAATGGAACCATTTAGTTATATACATTCTATTCCCCACTTACTCTAGTCCCCAAACCCTGCTTTGGAAACCTATCACCCAAGGTTTATCTATTCTGTCTCTGCACTTAGGGCCACCCTGTAAGATTTTTTTCAAGATCTCTCCTTGAGTATAAATAGATCATAAAATTCAAGAAGTCTCCATCATTTCTCTTGGAACCTTACCCTGAACCCAGGCCCATTGTGATTCCTCGACAGTGGATAAAATGCTCCCAGCTGCATCCACCGTCTGCAGAGCTCCTCTGTGACATTCCCTGTATAACCACAGATGTTGGCACCTACCTGGAGAATTAGCACACACACAAGCACAGGGTCAGTGAGAGAGGAGACAGCATTGACTGTGTACCTATATGATAAGGAAAAATAGCATCTCTTATTTCCATCCTTCCGTGTGTAAGGAAGTCCCAGGCTTTCCAGGAAAGCCTCCAGCCAAATGGGAGAAAGAAACAAGTATGCATGGCAAATCTCCTGACAAGAAGAAAACTGACTGTCATATTAAGGGCTCTTCCTCAACATCAGCTTTCACTTTCAAGGTCTGGCATTTATGGATGCTCTGCTGATGGGATTTTCTGTGATACTAATATGTGTTAATGTTTACCATCCTACCTTCAGAAGACAGCTCACAAGGCACATAAAAATCGGTTTTCCCAGGCTTCCCTGGTGGTCTAGTGGTTAAGAATCTCCCTGCCAATGCAGGGGACATGAGTTTGCTCCCTGGTCCAGGAAGATCCCACATGCCATGGAGCAATTAAGCCTGTGCCCCACAAATATTGAGCCAGCACTCTAGAGCCTGAGAGCCACAACTACTGAAGCCTGCGGGCCTAGAATCCATGCTCTGCAACAAGAAACCACCGCAATGAAAAGCCTGAGCACCGCAACTAGAGAGTAACCTCTACTCACGGCAACTAGAGAAAGCCCATACACAGCAATGAAGAGGCAGCACCGCCAAAAATAAAACTGATTTTCCCAATACACATCACAGTGAAATACATGCTCCTTGGTTTTCAGACACCCTCAAAGTCTGGTGATGAGAACAATGTCAAAGAACAAAGGGTGAAAATTCCTTGTTTCAGAATGAAACTCACCATGGGGATGCCGAATAGGTTGAACTCCAGGATACCAGGGATGGACCATCGGAAATCGTCCCATCTGGCTGCATTGTCCCCCAACCAATGAGCAGCAAATTTGCCAGATCCCGCAAAAGTAGAACGTGATAAGATGAAGTGTCTCTTATTGGAGAAGATAGTCCCCATGGCCCTGAAAAGGAATACAGTCAAGTGAGCTGGAATGACTAGGACTCACCTACCCCTAGGGCGATAATGGGCTTCCCAATCAAACTCAGAAAAAACACCAAAGTGTCAGGAATCAGGAAAGCAAACTAGTTTGGCATGTTTAAGAGCTTCTTTCTCTCTTCTGGATAAAGTTTCAGATCTCACATGACAATACAAACTTCTACAGGCCAGCCCTGCAACAAGGAATTTCTCTAAGCTCCTATCCTCTTAATTATGTTTTCTCTATCTTGTTAGAACTCGTTGTGCTCTGCCTTTTGGGTCAAAACTACTCTGGAACCATGTTTTGGGTTCTTGGCCCTATCTTCTCCCTCTAGACATGGTTTCTTCAGTGTTCCTGGCTCCATGCCTTGCTGCCCATCAGTAATCCTGTTCAGCACAACACCAGCTCAGGCTGGAACCCAGTACCCACAGCTGGCCCAAGAAGAGAGTGTGTACACCGGTTGGGCTCCAAGCACCTGGTTCCTCTGAAGCTTCACAACTTATTATTAGCAATGTCCAATATGAAATTTGTAATCTATGCAAAATAATGATTGAAATGAGAAAAACAAATGAACTGATGAGTGAAATGTCAAAGATGATATATGGCACTCTTTATAAAGTTAAAAACAACTAAAATATATTTTCCTTGTATTACACATAAAATATTACATATCAAATAAAACTATATAGAAAAGAGAGCAAAGGAATTAAAAACAGAATTCAGAGAGATAATTGCATATAGTTAAAATTATTAATAATATTATTAACTATATATTTTATCCCACCCTGAATCCTGAAGCTATTATCTCTAAATTCTGTTTTTAATTCCTTTGCTGTCTTATCTATATAGTTTTATTTGATATGTAATATTTTATTACGTTTTATATGTAATACAAGGAAAATATTTGTATTTTTTGTTAGATGTAGGCTATTTTCTTAGCTTCTATTCTGCACCTTTTCTTACATAGGTATTTTACTAAAAGGCCTCTGCCATCTTTCTTCATTCACACTAAATAGTTCATGCCTTCCTTTAGACTCCAAAATTGAACAATAATACAACTACAAGACAATAACACAATTGCTGCTAGCTCTTTGCAGGCCAGTACTTTTATCTTTCCTTTCAACACATGGTCTGAGAAAAAGCTGCCACCAGGCATCAGGCAATTTCTCATAGACACCAACACAACCACCAATGCTTCCTTCCTTCACATTCCTAAGGATTTTATGGAGAGTCTATACATGTAGAAGGACTTATAATGACAAAAGGGGGGAAATTCTGAGTTAGGAGGCTGGTTCATGAAAAAGACATGCTCTATTCTGACAATTCAATGACCAAAAGATAGGAGTAGGTTGGAGGAGGGGACACACTCCAACTCTCGTCCTTGTCTCTCTTTTGATCTAGACTGGCAGACACTTTGCCCTTATTGCTGTTGGTCAGAGGGATCATTGGCTTCTGCAGTCATCAGTCATGAAAGAAACACCGTCAGCTTTATAGAGTGAAACTCAAACAGGGATGACATTATCTGCAGTCACAGTTTACTTAGAGCTGGGCCGTTAAGGTAACACGGAGGAGATAACTGTTTTTTTCCCAGCTCAGAGATAAAGTCTTGTTCAGAGATCCTTTCATTCCTCTTTCCCACCATTCAGGTTTGACCTATTTATGGTCAGGTTCTGATCTCTGAGAGAATCTGGTCTTCTGCTTTCAGCCTAGATGGAAGTGAATTTCCTCCTTTGGGTATATCAGTAACCACTTTCCCCAGACTGGACTGCCAGCTAAGATGGAGCCAAATACTCATTAGATCTAAGACTTAGTGTGAAAGTCAAAGTGTTAGTCGCTTAGTTGGGTCAAACTCTTTGTGACCCCATGGACTGTAGCCCACCAGGCTCCTCTGTCCATGGAATTTTCCAGGCAAGAATACTGGAGTGAGTTGTCATTCCATTTTCCAGGGGATTTTCCCAATTCAAGGATCAAACCCAGGTCTCCTGCACTGCAGGCGGATTCTTTACCATCTGAACCACCTGGGAAGCCACAAGACTTAAGTTCTCCTGATGCCTGATTTGTTTTTCAGCCATCTCTGCCTGCCACCTGAAGGCTAAGTTATGGTTATTTCCACAGTTCTCTGGAAATTTAGGTCATTCTGCCTGACCAAAGGAAGTTAGAAGGGTGCTTACTCCTTACTCAATCATAGTTACCTTTTAACTCTCAACCATAGCTAGTAGAATGTTTTAATCAACCCCATCATGATGTTAAAGCACTTTGTCACATGGAGACACTAACAATAATGCAGTTTAAAGTCTCTTTCCTTCCTACTACCCTTCCTTACTCTTCTTTTTTGCCCTGACCATTTATCCCCTCTCCCTCTTACCTTCCATCCTTAGATTGGTGCATCTAAGATTTCAGCCTAGATGGAAGTGAATTTCCTCCTTTGGGTATATCAGTAACCACTTTCCCCAGACTGGACTGCCAGCTAAGATGGAGCCAAATACTCATTAGATCTAAGACTTAGTGTGAAAGTCAAAGTGTTAGTCGCTTAGTTGGGTCAAACTCTTTGTGACCCCATGGACTGTAGCCCACCAGGCTCCTCTGTCCATGGAATTTTCCAGGCAAGAATACTGGAGTGAGTTGTCATTCCATTTTCCAGGGGATTTTCCCAATTCAAGGATCAAACCCAGGTCTCCTGCACTGCAGGCGGATTCTTTACCATCTGAACCACCTGGGAAGCCACAAGACTTAAGTTCTCCTGATGCCTGATTTGTTTTTCAGCCATCTCTGCCTGCCACCTGAAGGCTAAGTTATGGTTATTTCCACAGTTCTCTGGAAATTTAGGTCATTCTGCCTGACCAAAGGAAGTTAGAAGGGTGCTTACTCCTTACTCAATCATAGTTACCTTTTAACTCTCAACCATAGCTAGTAGAATGTTTTAATCAACCCCATCATGATGTTAAAGCACTTTGTCACATGGAGACACTAACAATAATGCATTTTAAAGTCTATTTCCTTCCTACTACCCTTCCTTACTCTTCTTTTTTGCCCTGACCATTTATCCCCTCTCCCTCTTACCTTCCATCCTTAGATTGGTGCATCTAAGTGTACAGATAAAATAGGAAGGGACTATAGGAAACATGGTCTTCCCTGGTGGCTCAGATAGTAAATAAAGAATCTGCATGAAATGCTGAAGACTCAGGTTCAATCCCTGGGTCTAGAAGATCCCCTGGAGGAGGAAATGGCAACCCACTTCATTATTCTTGCCTGGAGAATCCTTTGGACAGAGAAGCCTGATGGGCTATAGTCCATGGGGTCACAAAGAGTCAGATAGGACTGAGTGACTAACACTATTGCTGCTATAGAAAACAATGATCCAAGTCTCTCATTTCAAAGACGGGGAAATTGAGTCTTATTAATCTAGTTTATTTCTCATGAAAGGTAGAGAAAGAGAAAAAGAAGCCAGAAAAGACAAGACAGAAAATCAGAAATGTGTGTCCTTTTTGAAGCTTGTCTTTCATTGAAATAAACACTTTTTCATTTACTAGGCAAGGGTCTACTCTGATCTGGATGATTCAGCATTAATAAAAAATCATGATGGCAAAATGGTGCTGGAAGAAAAAATCAACACAGACTCTGCCTCTAGAATTAGGTTCCTGAGGGGCCCATCCTGACCTTCTCTTCCTCAGGCCCAGTATTTATTCGTTCAACAAGCATGTCTTCAGTTCACACACTAAGGACACATGGGCAACTTTGACCTGCATAAAAACTGACAGTCTAGCAATAAAAAAGAATATTAAAAAATAATAAGATTTTAGCACATTAAGCATATTGTAAACCTATGGTTTTTCTAGTAGTCATGTTTGGAAGTAAGAGCTGGACCGTAAAGAAGGCTGAGCGCCAAAGAATTGATGCTTTTGAACTGTGGTGCTGGAGAAGACTCTTGAGAGTCCCTTGCAGTCAATTCTAAAGGAAATCAACCTTGAATATTCACTGAAAAGACCAAGGCTAAAGCGAAGCTCCAATACCTTGGCCACCTGAAGTGAAGAGTCGACTCACTGGAAGAGACCTTGATGTTGGGAAAGATTGAGGTCAGGAGGAGAAAGGGGCAAAAGAGGATGAGATGGTTGGATGGCATCAGAGAGTCAACGAACATGAATTTGAGCAAACTCCAGGAGATGGTGAAGGACAGGGAAGCCTGGCTGTGCTGTAGTCGACGGGGTCACAAAGAGTCAGAAAAGACTGAACAACTGGACAATAACAGCAGCAAGTGCAGATTTATCTGGGTAGCCTGTATTATTATTGACTGAATCAGGCAACCCTAGTGTGGTGATCTTAGTACATTCAGTAATAGGACCCAAGCAAGTACTAATGTCCAACTGGGACTTCTAAATACCTTGCATGTTAATACCTTTGAGTATCTTCAAAATAATGAAGTTCCTAAAATAATGAAGCCAATCTTTGAAATAATGAAGCCAATCAAAAATAATCCTGCATAAAAACCTGGGATTATAAGNGTGTGTGTGTGTGTGTGTGTGTGTGTGTGTGTGTGTGAGGCAGTCGGCCCTCCTATTCGTCCAGCTTGTCCTTAGAGGTCAGCCAGCACCCTGGACAACTTGCTCTTTATCTGAACAAGCTCAACCAGGCCAGCCAACTGTGTTGGTCGCCAAGTCCTGCCATCAGAGCTGGTGAGTGTGGGAATTAAATGCCAACTGTGCATTTTACCATCTCTGTGATCTCCTACCAAAGGGCAACCCACTCCGGGACTCTTGCCTACAGAATCCCATGGACAGAGGAGCCTGGCGGGCTACAGTCCTGGGGTCACAGAGTCAGACACGACTGAGCACACACGCACCTGGGGCCTACGCTGAGCTGGATCATTAAAATTAATTTGCACTTCCATGAGCTCACAAAGAATGCTACTTAGGCAAGTGAGAAAACATGTTCAGAGCAATGGTTCATCTGCGTTTAAATATAAACAAAGCACTTGCATTTATCAACATGTACTTTGTCAAGAAGAATAGAGAATAAGGCAGTGAACATTTTCACTTTTATATTGTAGACATTCACACCCCAGTTAGAGTTTTTTTTAAAAAATGAGATAAGATATTTGAGTGTTTTCATGAATAAGAATTCAGATCTTGCCTCTAGAAACCACTACTATTTCTGTATTTTCCTTTTCTCATGCCTAAGATGCTCAGTATTTTCTGCCTTATCTGCAATTGCCTTTTTTTTCATTTTCTTTATTAGCTTTTATTGAATATAGTTGATTTATGATGTTGTATTCATTTCTGGTATACTGCAAAGTGATTCAGATATATATGTATATGTGTGTGTGTGTATATATGTGTGTGTGTGTATATATATATATATGTTTATTTATTCCTTTCCATTATGATTTATTACAAGATATTGAATCTAACTCCCTGTGCTGTTCAGTAGGACTTCGTTGGCTACCTATTTTATACATAGTAATTTGTATCTGCTAATCCCAAACTCCTAATTTCTGCACCTGCTTCTTTTCCCTTCTCCTTGAAGACTGATGACTGGGGACCCTCCTTCCTGAAGCCTTGTCTGCACATAGGACCTCAGTATGAGACACAGTTTCAGAAAATTTTTTTCAGAAATAAAGAAAATTCTGTTTCTGGCACAATTCAGATTGTGGAATGAGATTCGCAACGACTTTGATTATAAGAAACGACACTAAAATTTTCCCAGGGTCAAAGTTAATTTATCTAAATCTTTATCACACTAAGGTAGACTGTCCAGTCCTGAAAATGCAAAAAGCAAACCAGCTACAAGGCAAAGCAGCTGGTTATATACAAAGAGAGACTAAGCACCAGGAAGTAGAGAATGGGGTGCTCAACAGAAGCAAGTAGAAGGTGTTAGGACTGCCATTTTCTGGAGGGGAAAACACTCAGTTTTTGCCAAGAAAAAAATCAAGAGATTATAAGGGAAACATGACAAGCTGATTCAGAGTGGGGAAAAAAATTTGAGGGCACACAGACTGAGCAGAGTAGGATGAAGATAAAGAGGGAAAAGTGAGACTTCCCAGGTGGTCCAGTGGTTAAGAATCTGCCTGCCAACGCAGAGGACAGAGGTTTGATCCCTGGTCTGGGGAGACCTCCCTTACTCAGCATGGCAACCAAGCCTGTATGCCACAGCTACTGCGCCCACACCCTGCAACTACTGAAGCCCGCCTGCCTGGAGCCGCTGCTCTGCGACAAGAGAAGCATCACGATGAGAAACCCGTGAAAGGCAATCAAGAGTAGACCCCACTCACTGCGCCTAGAGAAAGCCCGAGAGCAGCAATGCAGACCCAGCATAGCTGGAAAAAAGTTTTAATTAAGAAAAAAGAATAAGTGAGGAAGCAAACAGTAGATTTTACAAAAATTTAAATAGTTGAAAGTCAAGACTCTGCCTGAAAAATTCTCCACTCCTGCAGTGACCAAAAGGGACCAAAGAAACAGTTAAACCTTGGTCCAAGGGTGCACATGAAGCAGACAAATTAGAATAAAGTGTCAGAAATTGGCCAGAGGCTCAGCAAGCCTGTGTTCTCTTCCTGGAAGAATATTTCACACTTTCACTTGACATTAAGCTGAGACTATGTTATTGGAGTCTGGCCAAAGGAATGTGAGCATATTAAATACACCCCAATTCCAGGAGTGTCCATAAGAATCCCTCTACCCTCTCTTTCACCCAGTAAGCTGGAAGTAAAGGACCCTGGGATGGGAAAACAGACTGTGAAAGTAACTATGTCCCTGAATCATTGCTGGATGAGAGTCACACCTCCCACACTACAGTATTATGTGAGTAAACTTGTGTTTATCCACTGAGATGTTCATTTGTTTCCAGATTCCAGCATAAACTATTATACACTGTTTCTCCCTCTTCCTCTCTCTTTCTCTCTCTCTTTCACACAGACATACTCTTTCAAAATCAGGGATTGGAAAACTCATCAGGAAAAGGCCTTAAAAACAGGAAGGACCTAAAAGGGATCATACTTTAAACTCTTGCTAATGAGCTTTTTTTTTTTCCCCTGGTAGCTCTATGGTAAAGAATCTGTCTGCCAGTGTAGGAGACGAGGATTCAGTCCCTAGTCCAAGAAGATCCCACATGCAATGGGGCAACGAAGCCCAGCGCACCACAACTACTGAGCCTGAACTCATAGAGCCTGTATTCTGCAAGAAGAGCAACCACAGCAATGAAAAGACCACATACCAAAACCAGAGCACAGCCTCTGCTCTCCACAACTAAAACCCGCACGCAGCTATGAAGACCCGGCACAGCCAAAAATAAATAAATTTTTTTTAAAAAAGAAAAGTTAACAAAACAAAGATTTACTTTAATGGCAGGTAGTCTGTACCTTAATGTATTCTGATATTCTGATTATAAAGTTTAACATTGAACCATTTGTATGAAGGGTTTGGAGACAGTGAATAGGGTGGAAGTATGTAAAACTCTACAACTAAAGGAGGTATGGCTTCCACCACGTGCTTGCCCTTGGATTATGGCAACGAAAAGGTATTCAGAGACTGAAAAATGAAGCAAGGTCCCCAGCAGGAGAGTGGTCAGGGTGGTCAGGGTGTTTGGATGGGGAGTCCCTTGAACTGGGAAGTAGATTGCTCCTGGCCACACCAAGTCCTATCAAGGTTGTTTTAAACACATCTCATCCCTCCATCACTAGGAAACAAGTCGAAACTTACGAGGTTTGAAAGGAGGAAAGTTGAAGTTGTTTACTTCACACTCTTGGTCAGAACCTTGTAGAAAGCTAGATACTTCATCCATTTCCTACAAAGACACAAAATACACAAAATGGAAATGTTACTGATGCACAGTTACCTGTTGAGTAATGCTTACTGAATTTGAAGCCCCAAATTTTCTATCCACTTCTTTAAATATGAACTAAAAGCAGGTGATGCCTGATTTTACTAAACAGTTAATTTTTTAAATTTCAAAGAAATATCCCCACCAGTTATCTCCACCTAAAAAATAAAAGATGCTCATGAAGTAATTCTCTAATAATTAATTTTAAATTTTAATGAATCAGTGTGACAATAATAATTATATTAATAGCTTCTCATAAAACAGTATTTTTAAGTTAAAATACAGTTAATGGAGGTAAAAGCTGAAGCCATGATAAAACAAAGTACTTTCTCAAAAAGAAATAATCAGTTAGTGGCAGATCCAGAGTTAAACTTCCCAGAGTTTTGAGGAGTCTAACTTACTGCATATAAATTCAACATTAAGTAGAAGGATTTTAAATATCACTAAGTCAAGCAAACTATTTTATTACAGATCAGAGTCAAAGTTTATCTCACGATTTAGAATATCTGTTCCCAAAATAGGTTTGATCCTGAAACAACAACTTACAATCCACACTCCATCAAACTCCAGAGTTTTATGAAATTCACTGAACTGCTCTTGCCACCACTCAGTACCATCTGACTTAGTAAAATCAGGAAAAACTGTCCAACCAGGGTATGCCTAGAGAAGAAAGAAGGCTGTGGCAATTAGTCTGTTCAATGGTTCACTTTGGATTTATTGCTGGCTACCATTTCTTCTACAAGAAGCCCCATGCATCTTATCACTTAAGAATCAAAATCTGTGACTCTCTTCCTAAAATTTAATAGTAAAATAGGAGCAAGGAGCCAAGGAAACAAAGAAGAAAAGGAAAAAGAAGTCATTAAATAGATAAGAAGCCATCAAATGTCTTTTTCCTATTAAAAAAAAAAGGTAAAATATGTCAGGCCAATTGGGAGAAAAACTGTTTAAAATACTGGAAATATAACTGGACAATATTTTAGAAGAGAATGATTAAATTTCTTTAATGTGTTGTCAATTAAAGGTAATCTAAAATCTACTTTGAATAATGATATTTCTAAATAATACATTGGTCTCAGCATATAAGCAATCTTTTTTAAGTGGTTAAATTAATTTCATGCTTCTTACTGAGGCCCAATTATTTCTCACCCTATCTTCTCTTCCTATCTATTCCTAACAAAGTGTAGCTTTTAACGTTTTCTACAAATAGCATAAAGATACAGCCATAGCCAAATTATTGTAAATTATGAATTTATAGGATATAAGTTTTTGTGCGTACTTTCTTGCTCATCCCCCAGCAAATGTATAGATTGTCATTTAGGGGCAATTTTATGCTCAAGTAATACAATGTATACAATTTATATCTATTTATAATTCAGAGGCTTCTTAAAACTCAAGATAAGAGCTTAAAGTTCTTCCTATAAGTGGACTGAACTCCTGGTCCTTCGTTTTAGGTCATGACAGCAGATCAATAATTAGAGAAAATTTTGGACCTCAGGGGACAGACATGTGGCAAAGAAGTCACTTGCAGCAACATTCCACCTAGAGCAGGGCAAGCAAGCTTTGTTCTAACTGAATGCTTTTATAATGAACCCCAACCACCCCCACTATGACTACCTCTGCCAACATCCTAGATCAAATGATTCGTGTTATTTGTTGGTCAGGGGAAGTCACACCATAACAAAGAGTAGCCCCAACTCACTGCAACTGAAGTCCATGCAAAGCTACGAAGACTCACCAAGGCCAAAAAATAGAATAAACAAATAAATCTTTAAAAAAATTTCTTCTCATTATCTGTAGTATTGGAGAGTCATGGTATAGATTTTTAATTAACTAGCTGTTTTTCCCACCACAATAAAGAAATCATAATATATGAAGTGATAGAAGCACTAATTATTATTACAATAGCAGTCACATCGCACATGGATCAAATCAACGTGTTATATACTTTAAACTTAAACAATGTTATTAATATATATAATATATTTCAACTAAAAACTCCTTCAGAATTTTAATCTTTCTATTATTCCATCTACTGGTCTAAAAGTAATAATAAAAGAAAACACTAAAGTTACGAAAACAGTAATGATACTGTAACTTGCTTTCTACCTACTCATCTTCATACCAAAAGTACAAACTTCACAAAATGATTGTAATCACTCCAGTTTTCTTGAGAAATTACCTGCCCAACAGCAAAGCCTTTGTCCCCCAAGATCCACACTCTCTTTCTGCTTCCATTCACATAAGGCTGGTAGTCAGAGTTATTTAAGATGCCCGGATTCTATTAAGTGAATATAATAAGTACTGTTTAGTAACTTTTCCCACTTTGAAAGGAAAAATTAGGCAACAGAATAACTGTTTGACCATACCATAATAATTACATATTTCAGTCCATTTTCATGTAACTCATTGGCAAAGTCCGAGAGACCGTGGAAAGCCACTCCATCAATAGTGAAATCCTTCTTTTCATCCATGTAGTCAATGTCAGAGTACTGGACATCCTGAAAGACAGTGCTGGTCAATTAGAACTGAGAAATAAGATCACGCTGATGGAAGATATTATAGCTCTGGTTCTTGATGATTAAAACTGAAGCCATAGTTCTTAACGATCCTGGAACTATCCAGACTTGGCTGTACTCTAGGAGTAAAGAAACCCTTTCTGAAAGATACCGGCACTCTTAGATTGCAGGTTTACCTTTCATACCAATAGAAGCATGCCATAAGGAATTGAGAAGAACTTGAAGTAGGACTGGATCTTGTTCACCTTGTAACTTGAGAACTTGGATGCTTGACATAAAACAAGTTCTCTTTAAAGTGTGTTTGAATTAGTATATTAGTAATGTTATAACCGTGTTCTAACTTGGAGCCTAAACTTTGAACTAGAATAGATGATAAGAGGAGAAATTGGTCTTCTTGCCCTAAAACTGCCAGAGTAATAATTAACAAAGATAAATAACAAAAGCAAAGAGCTTTAATTAACCAAACTCTCATGCATGTGTATGTTTGTGTTTGCATACCATCCTGTGAGAAGTAGGTGTTATTCTTAATGAGAAGAATGAAATGAGAAGGGGTTAAGTGACATTTCCCGAAATCATGGATACATGAGTCTATGGGTGTTGACTGGGGTTTTGTTGATAGGCTCTTGGATTCCAGATGCTATTTTTCTCCAACTTACTACATACTCCAAAGCATATGAAGTTCTTCTAAGCTGATAAGAGAAGTTCCAACTTACATATGGGATCTCAGCTTCACGAGTTCGGTTAACAACCTTTTTCAATCCATCAATGCCACCATAATTCCTGCGACTAAGCTGGAACCCAAGACTCCAGTAGGGAGGCAAGAATGGTCGTCCAACAAGCTGAAAAGATAAATAAAGAAGTGTCTAAGCATTTAGAATACACACTGTAGCACCACTTCTGACACAGAAAATACTGCCTTCACTTCATTTTCTCTTAAGTCCTCAGATCTAAAAATGTTGAAGTTGAGAGTAACCTCCTGGGCAATTTGCAAAATTCTACAGCTCACCTAACTACCTAAATGTATTCCTGACAACAGCAACATCAGAAAACAGTGGGACTTGCAGGTAATGCTTGAATCACAATATAATATTGGGGGAAAGAAAGAAGCAACATTCATTCACTCAGTGAATCTTTTCTAAGTTGGTATTGTGGCAAAGGATTGACAAGGCACTTGGGATATAGCGGCACACAGCAGAAGTGATTCCTGCTGTCACATCAGTGTCTAATTTCAGACAGTGAGAAGTGCTAAGCATAAAGAATCAGGACTAATATTGAATGGGATGGATGAAGAAATAATGGACTATATTTAAAATCCAACTCTATAAGTTACCCAAGCCAACACTCTGAGAAGATCTCACATACAGCCCTGTCTTAAATGTTCCTTGAGAGCCGCTGTCTTGTCCTTCCTTAGGAGAGTCGCCTCAGGAGGGGGACTCTCTCGTGGCTCTGAGTCCCCATGCAGTGTATTTGTATCTTATTAGTAGCACTAATTATAAGGTGCTTCCTATTACTATTATTTCAGGCTTTGTTATATTTCTCCTATGTTATTATAAATTGTGCCATCTTGAACAAATTGCTCCATTTTTCTGTACCTGATGCTTTTCGTCTGTAGTGTAGAAAGTTTAAACTAAATGGTGTCTAAAGTTCCTTCCTGCCCTAAGTTTGAACCAAAAATAAGTAGCACAGTTCTTTTTACATAGCTTCTTTTCAGTATTTTTTTTTATTTGTTGAATCAATGAATAGATTTTGCTGATCTGTGGCCTTAGATCTTATCTTTGGAATGATTCATCATACACAGATGGACTATGAGCTCCCTGAAAACAGGAATGGCATCTAACTTAGTTTTGCATTTCTCAAGCCTTGCACAGTGCCTCTTCAGCATGTAGAAGGCACTCAATAAATGTGCATCAAAATAGATGAACAGCTGAGACTTTCCTAGTGATCCCATGACTAAGACATTGAGCTCCCAATGCAGAACACCCATGTTCAACCCCTGGTCAGGGAACTAGATCCCACATTACACAACTAAGATCTGGTACAGTCAAACAAACAAACATGCTTCCAGCTAATGAAAGACTCGCAGTCCCAGCATTTGGAATCCATAATTCACTTACAATTTTAATTTTTCTCCTGTTAATTTATAATGAATGCATGAGATAACAGCAATAAATAATGATTGTGTGTGCATGTGGGCATGCTATGTTGCTGCAGTCGTGGCCAACTCCATGTGACCTTCTAATTGTCTAAACACCAAGCCCGTACCTCCAGGTATTCCTGAACCACTTGTTCTGGAGTATTTCCCAGGAACACATAGAAGTCAAGAATACCCCCGATCGTGCGGTAAGTGACGGCAGGAGCAGGCTGAAGGGTGACTTCTGAAAGCAGTAAGACAAGAGTTCTTAGAATGTTATAGTTGGAAATATACCCATTTCTGGAATATCAATGTCTGAATTATCCAAAACAGGCTCAGTCTCATTTTAAAAGAGTTGAAAATCACACATGTTCTTTTCTTTGGGTGATGGCTGAAGTTTATCAAAATATTCAGTTCAGTTCAGTTCAGTCACTCAGTCTAACAATTCTTTGGGGCCCCATGGACTGCTGCACGCTAGGCCTCCCTGTCCATCACCAACTCCCGGAGCTTACTCAAACTCATGTCCATTGAGTCGGTGATACCATCCAGTCATCTCATCCTCTGTTTTCCCCTTCTCCTCCTGCCTTCAGTCTTACCCAGCATCAGGGTCTTTTCCAAGGAGTCAGTTCTTCACATTATGTGGCCAAAGTACTGGACTTTCAGCTTCAGCATCAGTCCTTCCAATGAATATTCAGGAATGATTTCCTTTAGGATGGACTGATTGAATCTCCTTGCAGTCCAAGGGACTCACAAGAGTCTTCTCCAACACCACAGTTCAAAAGCATCAATTCTTCAGTGCTAAGCTTTCTTTATAGTCCAGCTCTCACATCCATACATGACAACTGGAAAAACCATAGCTTTGACTAGATGGACCTTTGTTGGCAAAATAAATATCTTTATTGTTTAATATGCTATCTAGGTTTGTCATAGCTTTTCTTCCAAGGAGCAAGTGTCTTTTAATTTCATGGCTGCAGTCACCATCTGCAATGATTTTGAAATTCAAGAAAATAAAGTTTGTCACTGTTTCCATTGTTTCCCCATCTATTTGCCATGAAGTGATGAGACTGGATGCCACAATCTTTGTGTTTTTTTTTCAATCTTCATTTTTTGAATGTTGAGTTTTAAGCCAGCTTTTTCACTCTCCACTTTCACTTTCATCAAGAGGCTCTTCAGTTCATCAAAATATCATTCATCAGTTCATCAAAATATTCAGCTCATCAAAATATCAAAATATTAAATGAGTAAAATACTAATGAATTTATTTTTTAAGAGAAAGAAGAATTTCCCAGGAACACATAGAAGTCAAGAATACCCCCGATCGTGCGGTAAGTGACGGCAGGAGCAGGCTGAAGGGTGACTTCTGAAAGCAGTAAGACAAGAGTTCTTAGAATGTTATAGTTGGAAATATACCCATTTCTGGAATATCAATGTCTGAATTATCCAAAACAGGCTCAGTCTCATTTTAAAAGAGTTGAAAATCACACATGTTCTTTTCTTTGGGTGATGGCTGAAGTTTATCAAAATATTCAGTTCAGTTCAGTTCAGTCACTCAGTCTAACAATTCTTTGGGGCCCCATGGACTGCTGCACGCTAGGCCTCCCTGTCCATCACCAACTCCCGGAGCTTACTCAAACTCATGTCCATTGAGTCGGTGATACCATCCAGTCATCTCATCCTCTGTTTTCCCCTTCTCCTCCTGCCTTCAGTCTTACCCAGCATCAGGGTCTTTTCCAAGGAGTCAGTTCTTCACATTATGTGGCCAAAGTACTGGACTTTCAGCTTCAGCATCAGTCCTTCCAATGAATATTCAGGAATGATTTCCTTTAGGATGGACTGATTGAATCTCCTTGCAGTCCAAGGGACTCACAAGAGTCTTCTCCAACACCACAGTTCAAAAGCATCAATTCTTCAGTGCTAAGCTTTCTTTATAGTCCAGCTCTCACATCCATACATGACAACTGGAAAAACCATAGCTTTGACTAGATGGACCTTTGTTGGCAAAATAAATATCTTTATTGTTTAATATGCTATCTAGGTTTGTCATAGCTTTTCTTCCAAGGAGCAAGTGTCTTTTAATTTCATGGCTGCAGTCACCATCTGCAATGATTTTGAAATTCAAGAAAATAAAGTTTGTCACTGTTTCCATTGTTTCCCCATCTATTTGCCATGAAGTGATGAGACTGGATGCCACAATCTTTGTGTTTTTTTTTCAATCTTCATTTTTTGAATGTTGAGTTTTAAGCCAGCTTTTTCACTCTCCACTTTCACTTTCATCAAGAGGCTCTTCAGTTCATCAAAATATCATTCATCAGTTCATCAAAATATTCAGCTCATCAAAATATCAAAATATTAAATGAGTAAAATACTAATGAAGAATTTATTTTTTAAGAGAAAGAAGGACAAAATCTGTTTTAATCTGACCATATAAAAATACAAATTCATGGGATCTGTGAGTGATTTAGCTTGAAGGAAAAAATTTTTAAAACTTATTAGATGAGCTTACAGTTAAAAAATGAAAATGAACTCTTATTCTAGCACCATTAGTCCAGAAACTGGAGGGAGGTGAGGTGGGCTATGAGAAACCCTACAAAACAAAGCCTTGTTGTCTACAGACAGACAGCATGGTTTAATGGTGAAATCTACAGGTATCTTTGGAATGTGTCTATCAATGGAGTCTATTATCTATAAAATATTATGGGTAACATTGCATCAATAGAGAACACTGAAGCAGTCTTCCATGAAAATAGCTTCCAGCTTGAACAGGATTTGTAAACAGGTTAATCTATGTTTGAGTTTCAGTTTCTATAGAAATATATTGTAGGTCCAATATGTTAATACCTTCAACTTTAAACAATGATCTCACTATGAAAAGCATTTTTATAAAAGCAGCATTCCAACATATATTGCTGCCAAGAGAAAGAGATCTTTCCTACCCATGGCGTTACTGTTCATCAGAAAAACCCCGAAAGAGAAGCCGCTGGTGTCTTCCAGGCACAAGAAGAATGTGTGAGCTCCGTAGAGATTGATCATGCCCTGACAACAAAAATAAAGAAAATAATGGTAGTGCCTGTTGAAAACACTTTTATTCAACTTAAAATAAAATCAAAAGCCATGCACAATAGATACGCTGTTAACATTTGATGTGGTTCAGTACTGTACGAAAAAGGTTTTGAAATGGTAACATCAACAGGCAAATGGATAGGCAAAATATGGTATATCCATCCAAAGGAATGCTATTAGTAATAAATAAGAACTGAGATACTGATTCGTGATACTTCATGATACAAGTGTCAACCTCATAAATGATTTTTTTGGGGGGTTGTTTTCTTTTTGGCTGAGTCAGGTCAAACTTATTTTCTGAAAGAATTTTTTTAATTTAATTTTATTTATTTGACCACACTGTGCAGCATATGTGATCTTAGTTCCCCAACCAAGGATTGAACTTGTGCCCCTTGCAGTGGAAGTGCAGAGTCTTAACCACTGGACCACCTGGGAAGTCTCATCAACCTCATAAACGCTATGGTAAGTGAAAAGAACAGACACAAAAGACCATATATTATGCAATTCTATTCATGAAAAATATCCAAAAAAGTCAAATATATCCAGACAGAAAGCAGATTAGTGACTGGGGCTGGAGTAGGCAACTGTAGTAGGGATGGGATTAAATCTAAAAGAGAAGGAGGGATCCTACTGGGGTAATGAAAATGTTCTGAAACTGGAATATGATGATGGTTGCACAACTCAGTAAATTATTAAACTGTACACTGAAACAAAAATTATTAAATTGTAAAATTATTAAACTGTACACTAAACAGATAAATATCATGGTATAAATTATATCTCCAGCAAATCAACCTGAATATTCATTGGAAGGGCTGATGCTAAAGCTAAAGCTCCAATACTTTGGCCACCTGATGCAAAGAGTTGATTCACTAGAAAAGACCCTGTTGCTGGGAAAGATAGAAGGCAGGAGAAGAAGGGGACAACAGAGGATGAGATGGTTGGACGGCATCACTGACTCAATGGGCATGAGATTGAGCAAACTCCAGGAGATGGTGAAGGACAGGGAAGCCTGGTGAAGGAAAATTTTTTTAATTTAATTTTATTTATTTGACCACACTGTGCAGCATATGTGATCTTAGTTCCCCAACCAAGGATTGAACTTGTGCCCCTTGCAGTGGAAGTGCAGAGTCTTAACCACTGGACCACCTGGGAAGTCTCATCAACCTCATAAACGCTATGGTAAGTGAAAAGAACAGACACAAAAGACCATATATTATGCAATTCTATTCATGAAAAATATCCAAAAAAGTCAAATATATCCAGACAGAAAGCAGATTAGTGACTGGGGCTGGAGTAGGCAACTGTAGTAGGGATGGGATTAAATCTAAAAGAGAAGGAGGGATCCTACTGGGGTAATGAAAATGTTCTGAAACTGGAATATGATGATGGTTGCACAACTCAGTAAATTATTAAACTGTACACTGAAACAAAAATTATTAAATTGTAAAATTATTAAACTGTACACTAAACAGATAAATATCATGGTATAAATTATATCTCCAGCAAATCAACCTGAATATTCATTGGAAGGGCTGATGCTAAAGCTAAAGCTCCAATACTTTGGCCACCTGATGCAAAGAGTTGATTCACTAGAAAAGACCCTGTTGTTGGGAAAGATAGAAGGCAGGAGAAGAAGGGGACAACAGAGGATGAGATGGTTGGACGGCATCACTGACTCAATGGGCATGAGATTGAGCAAACTCCAGGAGATGGTGAAGGACAGGGAAGCCTGGTGAAGGATGGGGAAGCCTGGTGAAGGACGGGGAAGCCTGGTGAAGGACAGGGAAGCCTGGTGAAGGATGGGGAAGCCTGGTGAAGGACAGGGAAGCCTGCTGTGCTGCAGTCCATGGGGTCTCAAAGAGCAGAACATGACTGAGTGACTAAACAACAACAACCATCAAATTATTTTTTATTTTGAAAATATTGGTAACGACACACAATAAAATGCTGGCAGAAGGAGAGAATATGATGAGCAATCTTGAATTTCTTCTTTATGCCTAACTGTTTTCCAATTTTTCTATAAATAACATACAAAAGTTTAAAATTTTAAAAAAGATACTGAATCACTCACAAGGCTGTGATGAGCACTGATATAAAAAGAGAGACTGTGTATAAATGTAAGTGCTATAAGAATAAAAGATATTGAGATTACAACATACAGAAAGCTTTATGAAAGCTCCCGGTATGATGTTGCAAACTTAGCCCCTGGTGCAGAACTGATCACAGTAAATTTCCAGTGATGAGGAGAAAGAGAGTGAGCATGATATGCAAAGGATGGAAGGCCAGCAGGACTGTGCAAAATTAGGCTGGTTTTGAAATTATAGCCAGGAAGACTCACAACATCAGCACTTGGATAGAAAGAAAGTGAAAGTGTTAGTCACTCAGTCGTGTCCAACTCTTTGTGACCCCGTGGACTGCAGCCCACCAGGCTCCTCTGTCCATGGAATTCTCCAGGCGAGAATGGGAGTGGGTTGCCATTTCCTTCTCCAGGGGATCTTCCCCACCCAGGGATCGAACCTGGGGCTCCCACATTGCAGGCAGACTCTTTACCAACTGAGCCATCAGGGAAGCTTCACATGGAGTGAAAACAGGTTATGTGTTTAAAAATATTAAAAAGAAAGGAGGAGAGGTGGAGGGGATTAGGGAAGATAAGAAAGAGAAAAGAAAGGGAAGGCGAGAGAGGGAAGAGAAAGGAAGGAAAAGAGGGATGGAGGAAGGACTCCTGGACTACAAATAAGTTACCGCTCTAAACCAGCTTTTCTCCCATTTTAATATGCATGTGATTCACTTGTGGATCTTATTGAAATGTAGGTTCTGATTTGCAGGTCTGGGCTATGGCCTGAGGTTCTGCATTTCTAACAAGCTCCCAGGTGATGCCAACATCACTGTCTCTGGAATATATATCAATTGGCAGAACAAAGCAGCCAAAAGAGGCATTTTCTTTTAGTCTACAAAGTTCTACTGAGAATGGCCCCTGCTGAAGCTTTTCCCTAGACACTACTCAGTTACTGAAGACAAACAAAGGTATTTTGCAGATGGTTTTTCTATTAGGCTATAATAAAATCATTAAATTATATTTTCCTTTGGGACTTCCCTGGCAGTCCAGTGATTAAGAGTTCAAGCTTCCATTGCAGGGGTACCAGGTTTGACCCCTAGTGGGGAATCTAAGATCCCACATGCCATGCAGCGCAGCCATAAATAAATAAGAAAAGTTTCTCATAAAAATGTATATTTTCCTTTAAAAGTGAGATGCTTTCCAAAATCACTATATTACTGATTGTGAGTTTATAAACCTTATGAACAAATATTCTTCAACACAAACAGATCTATATAAATTGGGCAAAATATTAATGTAACTTCGGAGGTTACATTACTTGACTGTCTACTTTACTCTGTAGGTTACTTTCTGGCAAGAAAAACAGGCATTGCTTGCTGTGAGCCATCGGCAGGAGGCTGGGAACCTCACCTCGGTGGGGGTGGCATCCCGGGTAAAGATGGGCCAGGTCTTCCAGGTCATGTTGTGACGGAACTGCTGGTGCACGTGTTCGCCCAGCCCGTACACGTTGGCACTGGGCAGTCGCATGGAGAGCTGCAGGTACTGCTGGGCAAACTGGAGGGGCCCGATGCTGGTGTCCAACCTGGAGAAAGGGCCTTGGAGTAAGGGCGGGAGTCAACCAATAGCTCTCTGTGTCAGCAGTCTCTCTGCTTCCCTGTCTGTCCACTCGGGGAACAGCTGTTTCAGATGTTACCATCACCTGCTTGTTTGCTACCTTTGAAGGCCCTTCTAGAGTGCCTCCGATTCTTTGATTCTTCAAGGAGCACAGCCCTGGAGATATGAGGCCAGATATTCAACGCAACCCCATCCATCTACTTCCATCAGCATCCTGCCAGGCACCACTCTGGGTGCTTTATAAATAGCACCTCAACACACACAGCAACAGTGGCTGTTTTGATTCCAAGGAAACAGAGACGAGGAGGTGAGATAATTTGCCTAGCATCACACAGCTGAGTGGTAATTCATGTGTGACAGGATTGCATAGATTTCACTGACATTATTATCCTTATATTTTCTCCAGTACAATTTCTGGTTTAAGTTTAAGCTGCTGTTAGGTGCTTATTGGTAAGTTTCTCAGGAGATAACACTATGGAATGATAAGTAGTGAAGTTGAGTTCCAGTGTAAATGGTTATCTAAAAGAGAAACGCTGCCACTTTTAAAATATACATGAATCACAAGAGTATTTACATAACTGAGCAATTGAGCACATTACATTTCAGTATTCTTTGTTCCCTGTGATCATGACAGATTACCAGTGTTAATGATTTACAGTAAAAGCTTTGACATTTTTGAGGTTCAAACATTTTCCCAAGTCATACTCATCTCTTCAACTACCTGCAATTAAGTCAGAATGAATGCCACTCACTGGGACGTATATTCAAATGTATACAAAGAAGGTTGAAAAGCTCACAAGACTCTCTTGTTGCTGGTCCTCGTTATTTTGATGCTGAAGGGTTTTTGAATGACTTCTAGATGATAGTTCAAATTGGAAGCACGAGCATTCACATCAAAGAGCTTAACATTTTCATGGGGGACTTCATAGCGCATGTTATTGAAATCAATGATCTGTCAGATGGAAAACAGAAAGGACACTTCCTTTTAGAGCTTCTACAAAATTTTCACTCTCAAATAACCCCCAGTAATGACAGCTTCTAATTCTTGACCCTGGGTTTCCTGATTTGAAAAGGAAATAAAAAACTCACGCTTCCCCCATCAAATAAACATCAGTCTGCCCATCCTATCAGGAGATTCCTGCAGAAAGAATCAAAGGCACCTCCTGCCTCCAGAGCTTATAAAGGAGAATGATCTGAACCCAGCATGGAGGCTCTGCTCTCTGCAGAGATGTCTTCAGTGATAACTATCAAGCTAACCTTAAAATGGAAACGATTGGATGTCTGATGTTCAGCTGTGAAGACGGCATCGATTATGTCATATCCAAACAGAGATGGTGATGGCAACTTTCTCAACTGGGCTGTATACACTGGAGGTCAGGGGAGGAGAGAGAAGTATTTGGTCTTTATTTTGCAGTCAACTTATCTGGTCCATATAAAGTGATCCCCAGGGGCAATGTTAGAGCAGTGCTCACCTGTGCTTGTATTATTAACCCAACTGCTGATTTCATAGCCCCAGTTCCTGGGGAAGAAGCACCAGGGGATGGCAGTATCTGGCACAGGTTTCCAGCAGCACTTATATTTCTGTCTGCAGACATCCTATAACAACAGCACAGAATGAGCATTACATGAAATGAAGGAAAATACTAGTCATCTATTTATTTGTAACCAATTTTACTGCAAGAAGAATTTCTGATGGGGCACAATTCCATTCAGTCATGTATTCATTCTTCTTTATTCATACATTTATCCAGCCATCCAACATGCATGTATTACCTACTCAACATAGGACTATTAATAATAATACAGATAAATAAGACCCAGTTCTTGCCTTCAGCAAACTTACAATCAATTTGTAAATCCAGGTACTCACAATATGATGAGTGCTGCAATGGTGTGGCCTGGGGCTGAGGGGACACACATACCAGCCACCATGTCCAGCCTAGAAGACTGGGGTAAGGGTGGGGGTAGGGTGGGCATCTAGGCAAGTGCAAGGTAAGTCCAGCCCTAATGCAATAGGAGGGGTTAGACACATGACCAGCAGAGCAGGACTCCAAGCAGAGAAAGCAGCAATGCACAAGAGACTCAGTAGATCCGTCAGTTTGTTGTGCCAAGAATACCACGGGAGAGAAGTGAGACTGGAGGCTCACAGTATCCATGCCAACAGTGAGGTGAATGCTGGACCAAACACTGTGGACTTTCTCACAAGGAAGAGTCATGGAAATAGCTAACAATATGTGGATTCCCAAGTGGCACTAGTGGTAAAGAACCCACCTGCCAATGCAGGTGAGACAAGAAATTTGGGTTGGATCCTCGGGGTTTGGAAAATCCCCTGGAGGAGGGTATGGCAACCCACACCAGTATTCTTGGCTGGAGAATCCCATGGACAGAGGAGACTGGCGGGCTACAGTCCATGAGATTACAAAGAGTCGGACACAGTTGAAGTGACTTAGCCTGCACATAGCATGAAGAAATGCATTTCTAAGAAATAAGAAAAGGAAATCAAAGGAACACTGAGAAAGTTAAGATCAAACTAGGATAGACAGTGATGTCAAACAAATTTACAGTGTCCACAAGTTAAAAATAAACCACACGTGATTTCTCACAGTGGCTCGATTATAGATTTTTTAAAAATTACTATCATTTGGTGAGCTGTATTTTCTAAAGTTCCTACAGATTGTTTTTTCATGTGTTCCCCATCCTGAACCCCCCTCCCACCTCCCTCTCCATCCCATCCCTCAGGGCCATCCCAGTGCACCAGCCCTGAGCACCCTGTCTCATGCATTGAACCTGGACTGGCGATCTGTTTCACATATGATAATATACATGTTTCAATGATAGATTAATTTACTTAAAAATTTGTTTTGTTATAATAAATTAAATAGATGGCAAATTGAACCGAAATGTTGAAATAAGCACAGGTAGGCACCTCTCCACCCAACTGATTCTATGTGAATTGACAGAAGTATCATTAAGAAAGAAATTACAAATCCATTGTAAAACAGCAAAATATAGTTCAGTACAGCAGACCAGAAAAGTTGTGAAGTTCCTGAAACACAGAAAATCAACTTTATCAGCTCTAGGGAAAACACATATTCATAGCTTAAAACACAAGAGAAGAAAAAGAACAGCTCCAAGTCAGGTAGGTGTGGAGAAGTGCAAGAGAAACCTGGGATGTAGCCGCAGATGATTAATTGGGAAGCTCTCACAGATACTGGTTAGCTCCTGCTAATGGGTGGGCATCCAAAAGTGTTTATTGATAGGTTGAGGGACCGAGGGAGCTTCCCAGGCGGCTCAGTGGTAAAGAATCCTCCTGCCAACGCACGAGATGCTGGAGACATAGGTTTGATCCTTGGGTCGGGAAGATCTCCCTGGAGGAGGAAATGACAACCACTGCAGTATTCTTGCCTGGAAAATTCCATAGACAGAGGAGCCTGGTGGGCTATAGTCCACCAAGTCACAAAGGGTAGACACAACTGAGCAAGTGAGTAAGGGAGTGAGGAGACATGCTGGGAGCCAGAAGGTATGGCAACGCAGCAGCTAATANCAGTCCATGGGGTCGCAAAGAGTCAGACAAAACTGAGTGACTGAAATGAACATCATGATAGGAAGGGACCAAATTTAATAAGCAAATTGGAGGAAGCAGTTAATAGAAAAAACATTATTAGCCTTCAAAATAAACATAATTTCTACCTTCAGACACGGGCACACAGCAGTTGCTTCCATTAAGAAAAGCAATAAAAGAGCACTGAAAGTGAAGGTATCTAACAGCAAGGTTTCAAACTCAATATTTGTACTGAATAACAAAAAGGAAACAATAAAAGAAAGAAGTATCAAGGCAAGAAAATAGTTTTAATTCATTTTAAGATTATCCAAGAACATAATACACAAAGATAAAGAAATGGATGAAGAAAGGATAAGTCAAGTGACCAGTGGACTCACAGAGCAGCACTCAGCTAGAAGATTCCAAAAGGAGTAAAAAGAGAAATGGAGGAGGGAAGGGGGAACCACGGAAAGAGAGAAAGTAATGTTATATATCACGAGCAACTCAATATACAACACAGGAAACTGGAAAAGAACAAAATAAAGCCATAAAAGCTACATGAAAAGCTAATAAGTAAAAGCAGTAACTAATGGAAGAGAAAAGAAGCAAGTACCTACAATCAATTAAAAACATGCAATTTGTTTCCCAGGTAACAATCTAAGAATATGTGCCGTTGTGCTGTCAGCAAGCATAGTAAAGTAAGCCAGACATCTCCATGAAATAGACCTAGCTTCTACTATTGATTTGAAATTCTATTTTTATTATGAACTAAATTTAAGTGTACAAGTATGAGAATATGAATATGTGTTTGGGAACTTCTTATCATATTCTAATGATGTACATATCAATTCCTGCTGTCATTCCACCCTGATAATTATTATAGTGTGAAGACATGTTTTGGTATTAGTTTGGCAGATCAATAAACCTAAAGGAGACTCTTTGAAAACATCTAAGAAATATGAAAACATTATCAAGTCCTATTTTGACAAAGGTGGGGTGACAAACAACATTAGGAACAAAAAACGCAGAACGACAACAGATACTAGGATTAAATATTTACCAATGAATGGGAAACTGTAATTTGAATCTTCAAATAGTGAAACATTAGATAATCAAGATTAGATAGGAAGAGATAAAAAATCAAATGATCATTAACCATGAAAATTGTAAAAAGTAGTCAAAGGCCTTTCCCTAGAAAAATGATATTTTGCCCATATGATTTAGGGAATAGAATATTCTCATGTAACATGTATATTTTCAGAACAAGGTAAAAAGTTTTCTGATTAATTTTATTAGACTAGAATAATCCTAGCAACAAACTAGATAAGGAGAATCCAAGCAAACAATCATATAAAAATGTATAAGCCAATTTCACTTAAAAAAGATAAATATGTAAAATTTTAATAAAATGTTAGCAATCTGAATTCATTAGGGTATTAAAAGAATTAACTCATAATAGTCAAGAGAGGATTCTCAAAAGAATGCTACAGTGGTTCAAAATTAAGAAATCTTTTTAGTATAATTCACAACATTGACCAAAAAAAAGTATTAGATGATCGTCTCAAGCACTTTTTAATATATAAAAATGCTCCAAATTTTAAAAGCAAGTTATTAAATAAGATAAATAGTACAACTAAATTCATGTGAAAACAAAGCCAAAGATATATAAATATATGTACAAAATATATAAATACCTATGTTAACATAGGCAAAAGCTTAGCAAGATCAAGAGAAGGATACATACAAAGCTCTTTATCTGATTCTGAGTAGGTGATTTAGAAATAAAGAGAAGGCATTACAAATAAGGACTTCCCTATTTTTATTTTGTACATAACTATAATGTCTGAATCTTTCTTATTAAAAGAATATATCCAAGTATAGATTTTGTGATTTAAAAAACAAAAGAATATGTCACAATACTACTCATTTAGAAAATATTTTAGATGCTAACATCTATTGTAATTGCTCTGAAAAACCACAGTATAAATGTGTATGCCTCTGACTGATTCATGTTGATGTATGGCAGAAACCAATGCAATGTTGTAAGCAAGTATCCTCCAGTTAAAAACAAATAAATTAAATTAAAATAACTAAGTAAATATAACAGATCAACCTTTCATGCTTATTATAAACAAAGCAATTACAGGGAAGGAAAAGGAAGCCTGGCATGCTGCAGTCCATGGGCTCACAAAGAGTCAGACACAACTTAGACAGAACAAAAATTACATTATAGCCATACAATCGCCTTAAAAGTACTTACTAATTCTCCAAATATATAACTGATATTCCTGCTTCATCCTCTTTAAATACAAAATAGATTGGAAGGGATCAGTGGAGAAGTTTGGGGATTTGGAATAACTTCTAGGCTGTTGAGTTTCCTAAATCTGAGACAGATATTTAAATAGCCCTGCTACCTCTGAGGCTGAGATCTTTAAAAGTACAAAAGGTCAGTTACATTGCCATAAATTGTTCCAAAGTCTACCAACCTCTATTAAAAAAAAAAAAAGTTAAGACTAGAAATCCAATACAGTCAGATTAAACACAACACTTTCGCATGAAGTCTGCCCTAACATTCCTGTCTCAGTTTTAAGGCACTTCCTGAATCCCAGACACCAGAAGTGAAACCTTTGAGATATACATACGGCCTTTCTGGTTTCCGTAGTTACACAATAACACAGATCCTCATAAACTCACACCTGGATTATGGCAATTGACTCATAACAAATCTATCTCTATGCTTTCCTTAACACCAAACTTTTCTAAAGAGTATGCTCCAGTTGTCTTTCACATAGATTTTTATGTCATTTTGCCCTCAGAAATTACTGACTAATAGAACTTGAGAACTGGCAATTGGCTTGGAAATTATCTTATTCAACTTCCATTTGAGGCAAGGATTTTTTTTCAGTAGAGTCTCTGATAGATGCTTTAATTCTCTGAATGTAGCCAACTTCCTTCAAAAGCAGAGCTTCCTCTTTAGATTTAACATTTTACTTTTACTTGTACCATTTTATACTTTATTTTTAATGTTTACTGAAATTTAACTTTTAATGTTTACTGAAATGTTATTACTTATATTCTTTGAAATCAGTCTCCATTTTCTAAAACTTACTATAGCTGCATATCCCAAAGTATATAGAAAAATTAGAATGAAAAAGTATCCTTAGTGTTACAAGGAGAAAAATGTACATTTGAGAAAATCTTAAATGGTCATTATTTGCAGGTAACACTGTTGTAAAAGGAAAATGCAAGAGTCCATAGACAAACTAGGAGAATCATTAAGTTAATTTAGTGTGATTTCCATTTCAAGATCAGCAAATATTTAAAAAATCAACTTAAATCTATATGCTAACAACAGTTAAATGGAAAATTAAAAATAATATTTAAATAAAATCAAACATAAAGTACTCAGAAAAATTTTGGAAAAAACTTTCAAGTCCTCTGTACCAAAAATCTCAAAACTAAAATCTTAATAAGTAGAGGAATATATCGCATTCATGGATTAGAATATTCACTCTTATAAAGAATGTAAATTCTCCCAAAATTAATCTGTGAATTTTATGTGATCAGAATCAAATTTCTGGTGGGTTTTGAGAAGAAGCTGACAGACTGATTCTAAAATTTATTCAGAAATCTAAAGGGTCAAAAATAAGCTGGGCAATCTTAAAGAAAAATAAGAATAATTTGGAGAACTTTCTCAACTACTTGTCAAGAATTACTATGTTGTTGTTGTTTAGTCGCTTAGTCTGGTCTGACTCTTTTGTGACTCCATGGACTATAGTTCACCAAGCTCCTCTGTCCATGGGGTTTTTCAGCCAGGCAAGAAAACTGGAGTGGGTAGCCATTTCCTTCTCCAGGGGATCTTCCTGACCCAAGATAGAGCTGCATCTCTGCGGATCCCACATTGCAGACAAATTCTTTACCATTTGAGCCAGCAGGGAAGCCCCAAGATATACTATAAAGCTATAATAAAGAGCTTCCCTGGTGTCTTGGAAGGTAAAGAATCTGCCTGCAATGCAGGAGACCTGGATTTGATCCCTGGGTCGGGAAGATCCCCTGGAGAAGGGAATGGCAACCCACTTCAGTATTCTTGCCTGGAGAATCCCATGGACAAGGAGTTTGGAGGGCTACAGTCCATGGAGTCACAAAGAATCGGACACAACTGACTAACAGAAATGAAGGTAATATGAAATTAGCAAAAGAGCAGACGAACTAACAATGGAACAAAATAGAGACTCTAGAAATAGATCAACATAAACAAGCATATATGATTTATAGTAAAGGTGGCACTACAATGCAGAGGGTGAAAGATGGTAATTTCAGTAAGCAGTGATGGGTCTATTAGAAATTCAAGAAAAAAATATTCTGGACTCCTACCTGACACCATACACAAAAGTCAAATCTAGACTTATTTTAAGATCTCAGTGTGGAAGATAAAAACAACAATGCCCTTAGAGGAAAAATAATAGAAATACAGTTTTTTTTAACCTTGGAGTAAGCAAGAATTTTTAAATAGAATACAAAATACACTAACTGTATAAAACTGATAGAGTAGGTTTGTTAAAATTAAAAACTTTTTCATCAAAAGTCACCATGAAGAGTGTTAAAAGTCAAACCACAGTGTGAGGAAATACTTAAAATTTATATGACAAAAGATTTGCATCCAGAATATGTAAATACTGCAAAGTGATTAGAAAAATATGAATAGCCAATAGAAAAAACTAGACAAAAAAGGAAATGGAAAAGACCCTTCACAAATATGATTATCCATCTAGCCAATCAGGGTGTGAAAGTGTCTAACTTCATTAGTCATGTATGTGTGTGTTAGTTGCTTAGTCGTGTCTGACTCTTTGCAACCCCATAGACTGTAGCCCACCAAGCCCCTCTGTCCATGGGATTCTCCAGGCAAGAATGCTGGAGTGGGTTGCCATTTCCTTCTCCAAAAGGAACTATAGAAAGAAAGAAAGTGAAGTCACTCCGTCGAGTCTGACCCTTTGTGACACCATGGATGGCACCCTACCAGGCTCCCCCAGATAATCTATGGAATTTTACAGGCAAGAGTACTGGAGTGGGTTGCCATGAGGAACACAAGTTAAAGCCACAGAATAGTTATATTGAAAAAGAAAAACATACGAAGAGTAGGTTAGGATATAGAGCAAATGAACTCATGAGGGAATGTAAACTGGTACAAATACTTTGAGAAAACATTTTTGTGATATCATGGAAGATAATAAAGATAAAAATCCTATGAACTGGATTTTTTTTCATTATGTATAATTATTTGCCTAGGGTATAACTATATGGGTTGCTGTGTTAGTCTCTCAGTTGTGTCTGACTCTTCGTGACCCCATGGACTGTAGCCTGCCAGGCTCCTCTATCCATGGGATTATCCAGGAAAGAATACTAGAGTGGGTAGCCATATCTTCTCCAGGGTATCTCCCCTACTCAGGGATTGAATCCAGGTCTCCAGCACTGGCAGGCAGATTCTTTACATCTAAGTCACCAGGGAAGGCCTTATAAGTATATACTCAATAACAATAAAATGAGCTATATAAACCACTTTAGAAACAATGAGAAATTTAAATTGGTCAAATTGTATAATTAATATAATATGTTATAGCATAATATATATTTTATCAATATAATATATAATAAAAATTTAAAATATAATATTTAACACACATATAATATTCAGTAAATATAAAATAGTCTTTTCTCACATGCTAGTAAAGTAACGCTTAAATTTCTCCAAGCCAGGCTTCAGCAATACATGAACCGTGAACTTTCAGATGTTCAAGCTGGTTTTAGAAAAGGCAAAGGAACCAGAGATCAAGTTGCCAACATCCGCTGGATCATCAAAAAAGCAAGAAAGTTCCAGAAAAACATCTATTTCTGCTTTATTGACTATGCCAAAGCCTTTGACTGTGTGGATCACAATAAACTGTGGAAAATTCTGAAAGAGATAGGCATACCAGACCACCTGACCTGCCTCTTGAGAAACCTATATGAATGTCAAGAAGCAACAGTTAGAACTGGACATGGAACAACAGACTGGTTCCAAGTCGGGAAAGGAGTACATCAAGGCTGTATATTGTCACCCTGCTTACTTAACNAGTCCTGGGTGTTCATTGGAAGGACTGATGCTGAAGCTGAAACTCCGATAATTTGGCCACCTGATGCGAAGAGCTGACTCATTTGAAAAGACCCTGATGCTGGGAAAGATTGAGGGCAGGAGGAGAAGGGGACGACAGAGGATGAGATGACTGGATGGCATCACCGACTCGATGGACATGGGTTTGGGTGGACTCCGGGAGTTGGTGACGGACAGGGAGACCTGGCGTGCTGTGGTTCATGGGATTGTAAAGAGTAGGACACGACTGAGCAACTGAACTGAACTGAACTGAATAAAAGAAGCACCAGTTAGCAAAGATAATAAACTATATTTAGAGCAGAAACTATCTATGGAACATCTAGGAAAAATATTTCATAATACATCTGTAAGGAAATATACATGAGGACAGTTGAGAAATATGTATATATGCATAAAAGAGTTGAAAAGAGGTCATATTGAACATGTTTTTAAAATGAGAAGATTTAAAATCATATCACTGTTACCTAAATTAAACCTAAAATTTAATGCAGTCCTAATAATGGGATGTAGAATATAGAATATGAGATAAAGAAATACAATCTAAATATGCATACCTTTATGATAAAGTCATTAAGTTGCAACTAAGAAGGCTTCCAATAGTTGATATTCTTATGGAAACTACTCAGGTAGAAAATCTATGTTTTTTAACATATGTTCATTGGGATGACTTGCCAATAACATGATTTCAGAAGGTTCTTGTTATAACAAGTCATTTGGGCTCTACAACAACTCAGGCATTTATATATGCTTGATGACCGCTGTTCTCAAGGAATGTGGATTCAAGCCCTCAAACATTAACCTCTCCGTGTCTCTCTTTGGAATCACAGTAGGACACATTCAGAGCTCTCCCTCTGCTCTGGACTCCAGACCCCATGGGCCAACCCTTTGGTTAGTTCCTCCTCCTCTTCCTTCTACCCGTGGCTGCTTCCCTGATTTCCTCCGTGTTGCTGTTTATTTCATCAGGCAAGAAATAAAGTTCTCCAAACAAGTCAAGAGGCCCATAATCCACCTATCATCACCATCTCCCCACTGCACATTCTCCTCTTTTCAATAAAACCCAGCAGGCCCACAGCAGGAAGCATATTTCTCTGACCTCTGTCACCTCCTGGCCAGGGGCACACTCTATCCTTTCTGATTCGGGGATTTCTGGGCACTCTGGAACAAATGAAGCACCTGCAGGGAAATTAAAGGATGATATTGAAAATGTGGAGTGTACTCACAGTCCTAGGGAAGAAGCAGTCCTAGACTTTCAGTCAATTCTCCAGTCAGTAGTCGCTAGTAACTGGGATCTACATTTGCATAGAATGTTTAACACTTCTCCAAGGGTTCAACATGTTTACTTTTTGTTTTGCTGGGAGTTTTTTGAGATATAATTCACATACCATAAAATTCACGTGTTTAAATATGCAATTCAGTGGCTTATAATATTGTACAATGTTGTCCCACCATGACCATCTAATTCCAGAACATTTTCATCACCCCAAAAGAAACCACATACTCATTAGTAGTCACTTCCCATTTCTCTCTTCTCCCAGTTCCTGGTAAATGTGAATCTACTTTCTGTCTCTATGGATTTGCCTATTCTGAACATTTTATTTAAACAGAATCATAAAATATGTGGCCTTTTACATCTAGCTCCTACCTGGTATAATGTTTTCAAAGTTAATTCATGTTGCAGCTTGTAACAGTACTTTATTCATTTTCGTAGCTGAATCATATTCCATGATATGAATATAACACTTCTTAAAATCTATTGATCAGTTAATGTACATTTGGGTTTTAACTTATTGACTATTTCCTTCCACAAGGGAAAGGGTTTCCCTTGTGGCTCAGCTAGTAAAGAATCTGCCTGCAATGCAGGAGACCTGGTTCAATCCCAGGGTTGGGAAGATCCCCTGGAGAAGGGAATGGCAACCCACTCCCATATTCTGGCCTGGAGAATTCCATGGACTGTATAGTCCATGGGGTCACAAATAGTCAGACACTTTTACTTCAGTGGGTGTAAAGGATATTTCATTTGACTTGAATTTCCCAAACAACTGATGATATTGACTGTTATTTTCATGGCTTATTGGCCATTTATAGACCTTCCATGAAGAAATGTCTGTTAAATCCTGCACTCATTTTAGAAATTTGATTATTTTTCTTCTAATTTTGAATCATAAGATTTACGTATTTTGAATGCTAGACCATTTTCAAGCACATCATTTGCAAACACGTTCCTCCGTTAGTGGATTGTCATTTCACTTCCTTGGTAGTGTTCTTTGAAGCACAAAATTTTTTGATTTTGAAGTCCAATTTGCTCTTTTTTTTTTCTTTAGGCTACTATGCTTTTTTTTTGAGTATCATATCTAAGAAACTATTGCCTAATCCAAGGTCACAAATATTGATATTTATGCCTATGTTTTTCTTAGAATTTAATAGTTTTGGCTGTTACATTTTGAACTTTGATCCATTTTGAGTTATAGTTTTCATGTGCTAAGTTGCTACAATCATGTCCGACTCTTTGTGAGCCCACACACTATAGGCTGCCAGGCTCCTCTGTCCATGGGATTTTTCAGACAAGAACACTGGAGTGCTTGCCGTTTCCTTCTCCACAGGATCTTCCCGACCCCGGGATCGAATCCTCATCTCATACGTCTCCTACATGGGCAGGCAGATTCTTTACAATTGGTGCCACCTGGGGAACCTAAAGAAAGTCTGTTTCCACCCAGTTTCGATCTGGGGAACTTTAGCGTGTAAGGTGAATGTGATAACTACTACACTATGGAAAGAAGGCCCGTATATTTTTTCATATCGTCTCACAAAATCATAATTGTTCCTATAAAATACCTCAATGTTTACTATGAAGAGTGGTGAAGAGAATGAGTAAGTAGGATTATGCTATGGGTACAGGTTCTTTCCACCACATGCTAAATCTATATTGATACAGTGAGCTTTATTAAGCATAGTAAACCTCAAATTCATTTTAAGAAAAGATTTTTGTATTGTGTATATTATTATTTAGAGTATAATGTGGGCAGGGAAGGCTTCCTGGTGGCTCATATGGCGGAAAGAAGGCATTCTGTGGGATGTTTCTATGAGAGAAGAATTTCAAAGGTATCCGTGAAGAAATCCTAGGCATTTAATCAGAATATGGGCTGGAGGTGAATTGTAACTGATATATTTAGGCCAAGTTAATCAGTCCCTAGCTCCACTGTAGCCCAATTTCTTTTTCCATAATGTAAATGGACTACACACTGTTAACTATTCTTCTTGAAGACTATTGTTTTTAAATTTATTTATTTTAGTTGGAGGCTAATTACTTTACAATATTGTAGTGGTTTTTGCCATACATTGATATCTTATTTCATTCATGGCTCTAGGTTGAAGGACAGGCTTCTGGTGAGTCTCATTTTGCATTTTTCTAAAATTACATCAAATGGGACTTGGGAGACCTTGAATATTACTAGCATTTAATTTTAGGTATAGTTGCAGAACAAGAACACAGCATTTGGAAATTTATCTAAATTAATTGTGGCTATAGATTGTGAATAATGCAATGTGGTAGCATGCTGAGGAATGAAGAAATAAAAAGATGTCTTTGACATCTTGAGGAACTTCTGTCTCAATCCTTCCAATCCAACAGCCACAGGCATCTCCCTTACCTGGAGGGTTCTCCAACAGAAGCATCAGCAAGAGGATATCTACAGCAAGTACAATTATGATGAAGATGATCAGAAGGATTTCCAATGCACTAAGCTTCCTCGCCATCTAGATGGACACAGGCAACAGGATTAAAGTAAACTGCAAAACCCATCATTCCAAAAGAATAGGCAGGCGTCCTGATTAGACTGCCAATTCCTTGCCAGTTGACATGATTATCAGCATTCTTCTTTATGTAATCCAGGGAGTATCTCTTCCAGGCCATCACAGTGTCTCCAAGTAACTCTGATCAGTGCATCCAACACATGTAGGACTCTTGTCCTTTTTGTCTGCAAAGGGATTGATTACTGTCTAAGGAAAAACATATCAGACATAAAGAATTGAAAGGAGGGAAGGAGAAGTGGAACAGAGCATGGGAGAGAGAGAAAGGGTTGAGATGGCTCCAAAAGCCCTTCTAGATGTCACTTTGATCTTCACACCCTCCCTGGGAAGAGGAAGGAAGTTCCACTCAAGGAGGGGGAAGTTAGCAAAACCTGAATCCTAGTCTTCTTATTGCAATTCCTATGCTGGTGATGCTGAGGTGTTTAATTGTTTAGAGCTCACTAAGCCTTTTAAGAATAGGGTAACAAAAATGAACTTAGACCTGCTCTTCAATACAATGCTTACTTGTATGGTCATGGCACACAAATCCATGTAAATTTGGTGGCTCACAGTAGCTCTAAATATTGAGCCTAGACCCAAGCTCTAAACATCAGGCATAGATACAACTTTTAAAATATTTGGTATTTTAGAGGGTATGAACTGAACTAGGAATCAAAGAACTTCAATTCTTATCTTAGTTTTCATACTGACTAATGGCTATTTCAACTATTTGGATGTGTATTTCCAACATTATCTCCAACATTCCAGACAGGATAACTATTTTGCAGCAGCTATTTTATCTCCCTGCTTCTCAACTCGAGCTTTTCTATAAAAATTATCCATATTTGGGTAAGTTCTGGTCCTTTTCTCTCTCTTTGCAATGGAAGAGTTTTCCTCTTCTTGTCTTAGTATAATCCTAGTATCTATTCCCTAGATCTCAGAGCCTTTGAATTTTTCAAACTTCTTATTCTGCCAAGTATGTGTCTTCTGTCTTATATTATCCACCTCTGCTTATGAATTTGCTCTGTCCCCTCATAAATATTAGGCTGGTCAAAAATTTCACCTGAAACTCTGTTGATGACTTTGTATTCATCTTGAGACCATTATAGCTTTCTTTTTCCTTTCTTGGGAACTTTCCAAAATGATAATTCCACACATTCTGCATTACCTTCCTCTCATATTACTGGTTTGAATTCTGTTTCCCGCATTCCACTAAAACTGCTCCTGCCAAGATCACTAGGGTTTAGCTGCTGAATACAATGAGCACTGTCTTAATCCCCTAGCCCTACCAACCACTTCCTTCTCTGTAAAATTCTTCAGCTTTGGATCATTTGGTATCATTCAATCTTAATTTCCTACCTACTCTTCTGACTTCTCTTCAGTTTTCTTTATAGTCTCCTATTTTGTGAAATGTAACATTCCCTGTATTTCATCGTGGGGCCACTGCTCACTCTCCTTTAGTGATTTTCATTGCTCCTGTGACTTTGTATAATAATATCTGAGGACAACCCAACCTATATTTCTAGCTCAGAGATTTGGTTTCATATATTCAGCTGTTTGTTAGATGTCTCATTTGGATTTCCCACAAGCTTAAATTCAATTTCTTTACACATGAAATCATCTCTCCCCATAGTCCAGTCCTAGCTTCACCAATTCTGCCAAATTCGCTCCTTCTCAAACAGTTCATACCTTAAGGAACAGAATCACATTTCTTCAAAAACCTGGAAACCTTTTCTGACTCCTCTCCTGTTAGTTCTCACAACCAGCTACAAGTTCAGTCAAATACTTTACCGATATCTTTCAAAGATGTTCCTTTCTTTCCATTCCTACTGGAAACACTTTATTCAGACCATCACTTCTGGCCTGAACTGTCACCACGGCTTTCCC